TAACATAGGCTAGTAGTACACTCTTACAGGATGTTTAAAGTAACAAAGACTTTTTTGAAAGTGAGATGTGGCTGATTCCAGAGTAAACACAGCTGGTTTTCCATTTGAATAGAATTCTGAAAAATGTATAGCAGTTTGAAATTCATGGATGTTTACTCATTATACATTCATCCTCATAAGAGTCATATAGTCACATAACCTTCTAAAAATATAAATGATAGCTTGACTCCTCCATCTAGTTTTCTTTTAGAAATATTGGATGTTATCCTGGAAGATAATTATTCCAGATGTTTCCAATGAACTCTGTTTTCATAGGGAAACAAAAGAGATTAGCTCATTTGCACCTAATTTACCTATTCATGGCTTCTTTATAGAAGAATACTTTTGTATGTGTTCAAACCTAGCCATAAGTAAATGCATTGAAATTAAATAACTTCAATTTCATTAATTTTAATGAATGCAATCCTGTTGTATAGCAATGCTTGCATAAGAGTAATGACTTCAACATCAGAGGCAAATTGCCCCAATTAAAGGGAAATCATGGCTGAGTAAAGGCAAGTTTGTGGTGGACGTAGCTTGTACATGCTGCAGTGAAGTCACATGTACCCCCAAATCCTCCAAGGAAACTTTTAAGAAGTGCCGATTTGCTGCTGCTGCTGATGTCACCACCACTGCATATACACAGAGTGGGGCAACAGGATTTCAAACATCTCTATAAAGAGATTACTCTGAATCAAGTTCAGTACATAACCTAGCATCAGATCTATTTTATAATTGGCTTTTATCTAGCTTCTTCTTGACCCATCAGAGAATATTACTGGATGCATTACTTAGCTCCATTGCTTCTACAGTATTTCCTAGACAGCATAAAGGCTCTTCTAGCTGCCACTGTTTATACTTACTGTGTAGCCATGAGCAGCCCTCATGACCAAAACAAGTCATCATATGATTCCAGGATCCCCAGCCATCATGGCTATTGTAGCATATAGTCCAAAGGAGTCATCTTTCCCATCCCAGCATTCTCACAAGCATTTCTTGAAGGATCATGTTGATATTGAAGGATGATTCATGATGGAACCAATTTGAGTACGTGCATTAGAACTGTTTGTATCTGCTGCCCTGCTATTAAATATATAACTATCTGCTGCTGAGTGCTGGTGTATAATAGTTAGTAGCTAGCATAAGCTAGAAGCTTCAATATACCTGGTAATGGAAAAAGTTAAATACAAATCTAAGTAACCATGACAGAAGCTTGCTGGTTACTCTCTGGATTAGGTGCCATCTTGCCTGCTGGAGAGCTGGTGTACATAATGTTCAAGAGCATAAACATGAATTTCAATATCCAAATCTTTCTAATCTTTGCCTAGTTCTGAATGAACTTGCTAGCATTTGCCAAACATCTGTATCTCAGCTGTGGGGCAAAAGCATTAAAGTACAATCCTAGCTGGTCTTGCAGGATTTGTTGCAGAACCTGGAAAAGCTGTGACATTCTGGGACATGCACAACGGAAAGTAACTTTTCCATGTACTTCTTGCGATGTTTTACCACAGTAAAGTGCACATTTGGAATATTTCTGGAAAGTGTGGATCCCCAGTTTTAAGCATCGTTGCTTTTGTTCTTAAAAGCATAGAACGATGTGTACATCTGGACTTACATGGAAAACATCAGCTATGATTTAGTAGCTTGCTGAGGGAAGTGAAGGACAGTATATCTGCCATGCAGGAGAATGGCTTTTTGTGTTCTTCGTCAACATTCTTTCTGACACAGGAAGTATGATGGTTAAAATAGCTCTTATAGCACAATGCATATTCACCTCAGCGTTTGGCAAATAAATAAATAACTACATTTAAAGAATTTCAGACCTTAAAAAGACTCTGGTAGACCCCAAAGAATTTGACATAATGTGTTTATCAACAAATCTACGCTGCCCAAATATGGCTCCAAAGAGACCACATCTTGACTCCAAATACGTTTAAAACACGGAAACAGTAAAAGTTACTAGAAAGCAGATCAAGTTTTTAAAAGGAAAAAAAAAGCAACGGAGCTGTGGGTTTTCGGCATCACCTCTGCTTGCCTGGCCAAACAGAAACATGTCTGTTTCAAAGAAGAGCCAAATGGAGGTATTTGTGTGTGCCCATGGCCTATGCCCCTTTGTTTGGAGAACCGTAGTGTGAAATTCAACCCCCAGTTGCCTCAGCAGTAACTTTAAAAACAACCTCCTGCTTCATCTAAGATAGAGGGGCCTGCCAAAATTCATCTCACCAAGAACTTTACATCTAAGAATAATCTCCTGGCAAATCCCATCTTGCCATGAACATTTGGACTTTGGTTACTGACTTTGAAGAAGTGGGATTAACCCACAAAAACTCACATAATGTATTATTTATTTATTTGTTATTAGTGGCCTATAAAGGTATTGCCTATTATTGCACTTGTATTTTGGAATGGCCACACAGCTCCTCCCTTTTACTTCAATAGAGCTGGGGGAGGGTGCACTAAAACTCCCAGAGTTCTACAGAAATTTCTACAAATCACTGTCACTGACAATGCAGATTTGAGGAATTGTGACGTAAATTAGGTTAGGATAGGTTCAGAGAAGCGCCTATCTTTCAGATTTCCGGATTTCAAAAAATCATACTAATTGCTGCAATGCTTTTTGTGGGGGCTGTTGCCAGCGGAGGCATGAGAGGGAATTATGCACTGCAATCCATGAGTGGGCAGTTGTACTGAGGAGGTGGGGGAGGGAAACATGCTTCAGCCAAGGAATGGGTGAGTGTACAGAAGAGGCAGGAGAGGTGAGTGTGTGGTGTGCACAGAACACCTGTGTGGGTGCTGCATCAAACTCAGCCAAACCACTGAATTGTGCTTTGTATCCATCTCTAATTGAGAACCTATGTAGCTCTGTTAGTGTAAGGGCCCTGTACTCCCAACTACTTATACCTATTAATTCCCGCTAGTTGTAATTTGAGCTAATTGATGTTTCCGGGCAGTCTTCTCTGAGATGGATGCATCAGTCTGTTTTGGTTCATGTCATTTGTGTATGTGTTGATTTATAAGTCTCTTCCATTCCATTTTTATGTTGCTGTCTTGAGGTTGTTCTTCAATCGCACACACAAAAGAAGTACATGTGTTGGGAATTATTTTCTAAAAACAAAATATGTATTTGTGTTCTGTCACTCCATACACATTTCTAAACACATTTTATCCTAAGTACACATTTTAAATCCATTTTGGTATATTTCTGAACCAAAAACTGAATTTCAAGCTCCAGAAAAATGCAAAACTCCAATGGATAATTATCCACTCATTAGTCTGGAAAGGCAGCTCACTTTGCATCAGAACTCACAAAGACCAAATTCATAGGCATCTCCTAGCAGAGCATGTCATTCAGAACCTCAACAGCTTTGCCAGAGAAAAAGATCAGCATTGGGTTTTATATATATATAGGTTTTATATATATATAATGGCAACACTGACTTCCATCCCAGTATATAATCTTCCTCATTGCTTTCATGTGACATATTAGACAAGATGGAACCACTCACCCTGCAGACCAAAGTAATTCCACCCAGCACTGCTTTCTGGAGTCCGCTGTTAAGGAAGGACCAGAAGTGCCATGGAAGTGAGCTCCTAAGTTTCATCCCAGCCAGGTGTCCAAAAAGGATACCATGGTGGATGGCACTGAAAACTACTAACAAGTCCAACAGAATAAAGAGAACCAGAAGTCCCTTTTCTGGTTTCTCCACAAATGGTGCAGATCATCTAATAAGGCTGACCTCCTGCCAGGGAATGGAATGGAATGGAAAAGAAAGGAAAGAGGAGGTGTAGCGTTATATAAATCCATTTCTGTGATATTCCACGAGTGTTGCCACTCTCTGGGCAATTCACAACATGTAATAAACACACAACACAATCTAATAAATACAATTAAACCCTGTCACTAGTTGAAGCTAGTTTTAAATAAAATACACAAATTAAAGCCGATTTGACCACCCAGGGTTTAATACACAAATTAAAGCCGATTTGACCACCTCAGGACAAATGTACACTAGTAGAAGGCATCTTTAATGAATTTCCTAAAACAGAGAGGAATGTTGCCTAGTGAACCTCTGTAGGAAGTTTGTTCCAGAGGAAAGAAGCAATGACAACTCAGTTCCTCAATTCTTGACATCAAGGACTCCATAACGTCTGTACATTACGCTGTTTTTAATACATTGTATTTTTGTGGAAACTGAACTTTGTTCTCCTTTCATGAGGAGCATTTTGGTGGCAACGGAACAATTGTCAACTCAACCCACTAGGAAATGTTAAATATGCACAACTTGACGCTTGAATTTAACCGTGCATCATTTTCAAGGCAAATAATACTATTAACTCAACCCACTAGGAAATATTAAATATGCACAACTTGACACTTGAATTTAACCATGCATCATTTTCAAGGCAAATAATACTATTATTCTTGCAGTGTAATAATACAGTAATGCACATCTACTCAGACGTTGGTTTATTCCCCGTTCAACTCATTTTGTAGACATCAGGTAAAATGCTACACAGCCTTCATCTCCAACACAGGCAGCCAATCTATAGCCCTCCAGAAGTTGAACTTAAACTCCTGGCACCCTCACTAGAGTTGTGCTGAGTAGGGCTGATGGACCTTGTAGTCCGAAAATACCTGAAGGGCCACAAGTTGACCACCTCTAAGAAGTGGCTCTTCTTTCTTACACAGCCACATACATCCTACAAGTTTCAGCTTTACTACTGACAATGAAGTGAATGTTGAGATTTTTAAAAAATTTAATCCTGGTTTTAAGAAGGGGGGGGCGAATCATGTTGTGAGCCGTTGAATATTCCCACATTCAATTGGAGGCATTCTCGAGGGGGGAAAATGCTGAGCAGTCATCAGTTTATCACCTGCAGTTCTGTGGAAGCTCTTCCTTCCTTTATCCTTCATAGTGCAATTAGCTTAGGAAAGCACAGTTTGAACTGTGAATTCCTGTTATTTCAAAATGCCCTATGTGACAGGGCATTTCCTTATCGTTAGACATCCACAATGCTCTCCATGAACTATCATTTCTCAGAAATGAGAGCAACTTTCCTTGTTGACTGCAACAAGATATGGTACAAAAAGAACGTATTACGTGGCGTATTCGGGCTGAAGGGAAGAGAGTCGTGTTTTGCTCACAATGACTGTTCCTTTGCTCCTGGTTTTTCTTTCAGTTCTTCAAGTTGCCGATTTACTAGTGGGTAAGTCCCTATGAGATCTTTGCCATGAAGGAAGATACTAGTGTGATAAAATTCCAACCCTGATTGGTTTATTAAAAAGGCTGCTTAAGGGCATCCAACCTTTCAAATACTGTAGATACTTGGAAGATGAACAAGATGTGTCTTATTTGAACAGTATGCTGATTTGAATGGGAGTAGAGAAATCTCATGTAAATTGTAAACAGTTCAGCTGGGTTGGTCTGATGTTTAACTCTGCTGGTTTCTGTATACATATTTAAAAGTTCTGAATATAATATGAAAAGTAAAAATACAGCCTTTTTTGAATGCCTGCTCACATCATATGATATTCAGATGCGTATCAGAAAAATAAAATTATGCTATTTTTGTTGCAATATTTATCCAACTATGCAGTTCTGTTCAAACGATGTAGGTTTGGTCATTATGGGATGAAAAGAAAACACATTTTTTCTATCACTTTCTAGCTCTCATCTTGTCTCTCTTCCCCCAACTTTTAAGGAAAGATTTACTAAAGTGAACCCAGGCAGCAGTCTTATACCCTGTAGTTCAGCCTGATTGAACTCTGCTGGGCTTGCATCTGAATGGACACTTATATACGACTGAGCTGGATATTCTTCAGGATTTTCAGAAATCCATGAATTGCAGAAATGCAGAATATGTCACTGATGCAAAGCAAATTGCTTTTACATCTCTTGCCAGTAGAAAATAGTAAATATGTAAAAGTTATTTAGAATGCTCTGTGTTCTTATCCTTTGGCTGAATGCTGTTGAATGCAGATTATAGGTGGAGTGTGTTTTGCAAAAATGCATTAGGACATTTCCTGTGCACTCTAGCTTTATCCTTGCTGAAGAAATCCTTCTACATGATGCTTTGATCTGTAGGTGGAGGGAGAACAAAGATTATACTGTTGATCTCATTCTCAACCTCCACTTTCTGATCGGGTTTTCTGCATTAGACCAGGATGAAGAAGCAAAGCAAAATGTGCTGATTCCATAGAGCTTAAAGCACACTCTGGGTGGTTTATAAGTCAATTATTCAGGCTCATATTTTCCTCTCCCCCCCCCCATGCCACCAAGCTGAGTACTCAATTTACCAACCTCAGAAGGATGGAAGGCTGAGTCAACCTAGAGCCAGCTACCTGGACCAGTTGGAATCAAACTCAGTTTCACCAGAAATGGACAATACTCACTCACATAGACTATGTTAATACAGAATACTGTTTAAGCCTTTGTCCTGGTGACCTCCCATTTTTGCAGCTTGGTGAGTTTTAGCACCATTGCAGCACCAGTTGCCCCATAGAGATCTGGCCTGGTTCACTTAGTGGGAGATGTGGCTTGTGAGGTTATGCATGATATGGTTAGTTAATGAATCTTCAGCTTTCTAAATTACCTGCCCCTTATCTCATGGTTGCACTGCCATTGTGAGCAATCTCTCATTGAGGAATTAATTAAAGGTTTTTAGGATTATCAGCTTCTCCCCCACCTCCATGTCCTTCTTCCACAGCAAAAGCTGATTAGATGTAGGAACCTGCTCATAAGACTTTAAGACTGACCGGAATCCTTGTTGGCTTGTAAAGGAAAGTAAACTGTTCCTGTGGTTGCTGTCCTACACTCTCTGTATCAAACAGCATCTTAATCTTAAATAAATAATTTTCTATCTCAGTTCTGCAACTCACAAGCACTGAGCATATAAAACATTACAGAAAGTAGCAAGACAAGACAAATATATATAACTGAGATGGATTCTCGGAATAGCACTGAGTATGGGAAAGCTATGCTCCTCTTTACCTGTGACCTACCTGGACCTGCCTGGAATTTCATAGTCTTACTTATCCTGTTCCCTTTCAATTAACCAACAGCATATTTTTCTTCTTCCAACATTTTCTCAGTGTCTTCAAGACTAATAGATTATGCCTTCTACACCTATAGCAATGGTCCCATCTGCTCCGTGAAAACTACTCCTCTTGCAGTCTTAAAATGAGTACACGGGAAAACTCTGATACCTCTATATTTGCTGCCCAATCATTTGTTTTTCATCATCTCTTCAAAACAATCCTTCCTACAAGTGTTCCAGAAGCCCCCCGCTTTTTCTAGCAGTAGCACCATCAACGCTCACAGCCTTGTTCTTGATATACCCATATCCTTTCATTTGGTGCCTTTTAAAGTATTGGGGAGTTCCTGTTACATTTTGGTTATCCTTCAGGTTTGTCTTCTTTTCAGATTTTAGCTCTTTTTCTGAAGGTTTTGAGTAGAAAATCTTTGGGTATAATGCAACTGCCTCTTGTAAATATTAATGTGTGAACATGAAGGCATTGACTGAAATCCCAATGCTCAGTGTAGTAAGTCACATAAGGATGCAGCCATTGAATCAGTGAGGATTCAGTGAGTCACAAGGATACACCCATTGAATCAGTGAGGATTCAGTGAGTCAATTCCTCCATAAGTTGAGTGGATTCCAATGGACCTACTCTGGTTGTAACATTCGTGCAGTAAGTAAGTCACAATTAGAATAGGCCCATTTGAATCAAATGAACTTATGGAGAAGCTAATTCACCAAATCGATACTGATGGAATGGGCTCACTCTAGTGCAACTTACAAAGCAATAGGATTTCAGCCATTGCATTGCATACAGCTGATCTTTCAAGTGCTTATGGTTCAAACTGTTTATAATAGATTCCTCCACTCATATGTTACATTTTGGGATTGTCACTCTTGAATCGGCCTTCTCAGCCACTCTAGACACTAGTGTCCACACTAGACGCCAAGTCCTCCATGCAGAGCACGATACCATAGTCTCTCGAGACTGAAGGATGTCTATGCTATGTTACATTTTAATCCCAGCCTTCCTCTGAAGAGTTCAAGATGGCTTTTAAAAATTCCTTCACTTCTATTTTTGAAACAACCCTCTAAGAAGTCCCTAATTCAAGGCAGACCCAGCATGAAAAACACCATAGCAGCTGCTCAGACTCACTGATATTGACTCCTGCTTATAGATCCATGGAGAACATTAGAAAGCTATTGAGGAGACTTTAATTCCTGGAATCTCCCAGCAGCATGGCTGGTTTTCCATATTTTGGATTCCATATTTTCCTCCTGAGCAAAACAACTGTACGGAATTCAGTGACTACATTATGTTAAGGAGTGAGATAGACACAGCTCTTCTATTAAGTGAGGTGTACTTCATAATGTGTATCCTACACCTAGAACCTCTTTGTATTCTGTGTCAGTTTTATGTAAGTGGAAACTTTGATTCCTGCAGAAAATGTGTAAAACTTTCTAACAAACAAGATGTGTTTTCAATTTAAAACATCCAGGTGAATTGAACTTCGGCTATGGGAGATGCATGTTTAGGTCCAATATAGGTACAGGATAATGGATCCAGGAGGATTGGTTTTGGGTAGAAAAATATAACCTTCATCTTACTCCCAGTTTATGTTTATACAGAAGTGAATGAACTCAGCATATTCCCAAGTAAATATGCTTAATATTGTAGCTCTGTAATACAGTATTTATTGTTCTTATGTGCTATTAAGTTGCCTCCTATCCATGGCAACTCAATGAATGAGTGACCTCCCTGTTCAGCTCTTGCAAACTCAAGTCCATGACTTCTTCTGTCAAGGCAATCCTCACCTTTAGTTTTGCTCCTTTCCTGCTGCCTTCAACTTTTCCTACCATTATTTTTTTCCCCAGCAAGTCTTGTCTTCTCATGATTTGCCCAAAGCATGACAGCTTCAGTCTGTTATTTAACGTATAACATTGATGGGTGTAATAGGGAGATATTAACAAAACCTGTATGATTACTTAATTGTTCTGGCACCATACTGGTTATTTCTCCGTCTGTCATCAAAAGCGTAGATTTATAACAATCAATGGAGAAGGGGGCGGGTTTTGGGTTGCAATCCTATTCCTTGTTACCTGAGATCAAACCTTACTGAATTTAGTGCGACTTATATAGACATGCACAGGATTTCACCATCAACTTGTTTATAAAGTCTCAAGTAGTTTTTTAAACACTCTGCAGAGGTATTTAGAAAAATTTGCAAGCATAGCACATATTAGTTTACATAATCCTGGTTTAATTGTTGGTACAACAATGTAATACAAGACTTTATCACCACTGGTGATAATTGTACATTTCCTTGTATTGTCAGTAAGGAAAACTGACTGGCAAACAGCAAGAGTTTTTGTCTCCAGAGCCCATCAGCTTTATACTGTTTCCTAATGGGTTGGAAGCCAAGGAAGACAAGAAGAGGAAATTATTTTATCTGCACACTAAGCTCTAGGTCAGCATTTTCTCTTAAACAGAACAGCAGTCATTTCCAGGTTATGCTTCTACCGTAGCACCCTCTCTTGCTTCTCAAGCATAACAAATCAGTCATGCAGTATATTATGGATTATGTATAGTTGACAAACACAGATTGTATATAAGGTGCCTTTTTTACATTCCCATGTTAAAACGGAATGCCTAAACTTGACCCAGAGTGGTGCTTTTTGATAGTTGTGGTCAGAGAACTAAGTCTTAAGATTTAGTATATTGATAGATTTATTTATGGTGAAACCACCTTGACAGTTCTTCCACATTGCTCAGTTACGCAACTTACCACCATTTATAGCTAGAAAGAGGAGATGGGGGTAAAGTCTTTAGCATTCAGGTTTTAAGCAGCGTTTTAAGAACAGGAAATTAAACATATATGACTTGAATGGAAAGCTATCTGTGTGTTTATTTCAGTTATACATATGAGTTTGTTTATTTATTTATTTATTAGTTTTATTTGTATGCCGCATTTCTCCCAACAAGGGGCCCAAAGGGGCTCATAACATTAAAATTCACGCATAAGTTAAATGAATAAATAAAATAAATAACTTTAAAAACACAATAAGTTAAAAATTGAAAGATAAATTCAACAATATATGGTGTAAAATACAACTAAAATATTGAAACATGAAAACATAACAAAGATTAAAATTTCTGTTGAAATTGGGTTCAGGGTTCTATATTCATGGTTGGGTTTCTTCCCTTTTAAATGTCACCTGTTTTTGCACTGAAGAAGGAGCCATTGGTACCATCATTACCAACGTCTGCTATTCAGTTGATTAACCTTTGGAGGAATTTATTATTCTCTTAACTATTATCTATTAATAGCTGTTATAACATTTTAAATTTTAGACACTTGTCAAGTAGTTGTGTGGCATTTGACAAGGGAACTGTTTGGTGTTTTTTGTTTTTCTTTTAAGCACTTTCCAGCAATTCCATCAAGACACATTCCTCCTGTGCCATGAAAGGGATTACATGGGACTTGTGGGAACGACGGGGCAGAAGTAGGAAACGTTTAATCAGTCTTCTGCAGGCATAGTTCTACCAACAGGATTTCAACCACTGTTTCTTAATTAACACCATCACTAATGTTTATATTTCTCTGACTTTTTTAAAAAAAAAATACAGATACAAGCAAGTTTTTAATATATAATGAAGACCACAAAGTGTGTGTACATGCACAAAGTTCGGACTATGTCACCACCAGGGCCTGCAACCATGAAGAAGAGGCCCAAAAATTCAGATGGATTTCCAGTCATCAGCTCATGAGTGTTTCTTTGAAATTATGGAAGAAGGAGCCATTGGTACCATCATTACCAACGTCTGCTATTCAGTTGATTAACCTTTGGAGGAATTTATTATTCTCTTAACTATTATCTATTAATAGCTGTTATAACATTTTAAATTTTAGACACTTGTCAAGTAGTTGTGTGGCATTTGACAAGGGAACTGTTTGGTGTTTTTTGTTTTTCTTTTAAGCACTTTCCAGCAATTCCATCAAGACACCTTCCTCTTGTGCCATGAAACACAATGAAATGGTTTACATGGGACATGTGGGAACTACGGGGCAGAAGTAGGAAACGTTTAATCAGTCTTCTGCAGGCATAGTTCTACCAACAGGATTTCAGCCACTGTTTTTTAATTAACACCATCATTAATGTTTATATTTCTCTGACTTTTTTTAAAAAAAATACAGATACAAGCAAGTTTTTAATATATAATGAAGACCACAAAGTGTGTGTACATGCACAAAGTTCGGACTATGTCACCACCAGGGCCTGCAACCATGAAGAAGAGGCCCAAAAATTCAGATGGATTTCCAGTCATCAGCTCATGAGTGTTTCTTTGAAATTATGTGTGGGCGTGGCTTCCAAAATAGACTGGACACCAGTGACTCTGTACCCATGTGACTCAACAAATGATCTCCAGAAATGGGAATGCAGAAATGACACCCTTTTTGCCATCCAAGGAGCTGATCTGTTTTTCAACTATGGCAACCGAAATGAAAAAAGAATCATGCTATACAAGGGATCAGGCATATGGAGTAGGTGGAAGGTCTATGGAACTAAAGATGATTTGTGTTCCAGGGGATATGAAGGTAAATTTAGCTGTCTTTTTATTCTGAATTAGCTTGCTTTGGTACTGATTCCTCAGTTATTTCTAACAAGTAATATATAAAACCAAGAGCTTATGCTGATTGCTTCTCTATAGTCAGGTTCGTCATTCTGAGCCAGACCCTAGAAATAACTGGTTACAATGAATAGTGTCACCTGTAACTAGTTAATTTTGGGTAACAAATAATGTTAGAAGTAGTTACAGTGTTACAGAAAAAGTAATGAAACAGTTTGATACAAAGTTGCTTTTAGGTGTACCTAGCTGCTTTAGCTTCTTCTAAACATTACTTTTGAAGGGCTTTTCAAGGCATTTCAGAGATATTTTGACAAATGTTTGTATACTACTCTGTTATCAATCCAAGTGCCATAGAAAGTAATCTTTGATTTCGTCTCTTCCATTTTTGTACATACAGTGGTGCCCCGCATAGCGATGATAATCCTTTCTGAAAAAATCGTCGCTATACGGATTCGTCGCTATGTGAAACAAAGAAGCCCATAGGAATGCATTAAAACACGTTTAATGCGTTTCTATGGGCAAAAAACTCACTGTTCTGTGAAAATCCTCCATGCGGCCGCCATTTTTGCTGCCCAGTAAGTGAGGAATCCGGGCAAAACCACAGTGGGCGGCCATTTTATTTACCCGGTGGCCATTTTGGAACTGCCGATCAGCTGTTTTAAAAACATCGCTATGCGAAAATCGGTAAGCAAAATGCTTACCGATCATCGCAAAGCGATGTTTTACCATTTAAAACATCGCAATGCGATCGCTTTTGCAATCGCAAAAACCTCATCACTATGTGGCTTCGTTGTTAAACGAAGCGCTTGTTATGCGGGGGACCACTGTATCTGTAAGATGCAATATCTGAATTGGCTGCTAGACATAATTTGACCTTATTTCCCCATATTGTTCTGGCCTGCTGGCAGTAAAGCCTTCCCAGTGGCAGCAATTTTTGGCTATTAAAGACTTTCCACTCCCATCCCACAGCCCCCATTGCTTCCTAACAATGAAAGAGATAACTTGGGGCCCATGGGAGCTCCGGAACAGGATGAGGAAATGTAAATTAAGCTCAGAGCAACAATGCAAATGACAGTAAACTGGCTGCTCAGAAGCAATAAGAAGCACAATTTCCTTTTAAAATAATCAGATTCCAAACTCTGCTTTGATTGTCACTTGGTTGTCTGAATAATAAGGGCAGCTGGATCACAATGAAGGTGTATTGTATTGTATTACCATTCCTTTCAGCACAGTTGACAAGTAGTTAGAGCAGTCTTACTTAGCTTGGCATTCTGTAGAAGCCATTGACAATTCTCTTTGGATGTGCTGGTTGGAGGAGTGTATATGTGATTCATCACATCTGGAATGTGCCAGATTGGGAACCACTGCTACAGTCAGACTTGACTGCAGAATTTGATTGCATGAGCAACAGGATAGATAACAGGAAGCAGCATGGAGCAGAAAACAGGCACAAGTAGATATCTGTTTGTGTGTGCACATGTCAGTGTGTGTGCACGCCTGTGTGCTTGCATGAGCACATGTGTGTCATAAACAATCTAGTCACCTGAGATTTACAGCTACCCTAATGCATTTTTGTTTTTTTGTGTGTGGTATGTTCAAGGAGTGGTTTATCATTGCTGCCTCCCATGGCTGAGCAGGAATTTGAACCTGAATTCTAACCCAGCACCTTCTCCTTTACACCACACACTGGCTCTCGTGCAAGCATTTCCAATGATTTAGTCAATCCTTTAAAAAAACACCAAGGACAACAACAGCCAAACAGAACAAATCTCTGTAGCTAGACAGTTACAGGGCGGTACTCAGTTCATACCTGACGTGGATTGGAAGGAAAGAGCTTGTACTCCCTTGCTAAATTGTTTCAGTTCTAGGTCCTCTGGATGTGGGAGCCAAAGTGACTATATCACCTGCTCAGGTGTTTCCAGGAACTGAGGGCAGGGCAGGGGAGGAAAACACCACTGATGTTTCTAAGCATATTGTGCACAGATAATGCGTGTCAGCACACAGTGTACCTGTATTATACCTTATGTGCAAGGACCATTCCAGCCACATCTATCTGAAGAAATTGGACAGCATCGCTGGTGTGGGACAGGAAGAAGAAGACCAAGGCTTCTGTTGGTAGCCACTACAACTGCGGCTGGTAGCTTGCATGACAGGGTTTGCTGCAGGGTCACAGAGGCTCCTGCCTGCACAGCGCCAGGCAGCACTTTGCCTTCTTTGTCAGGCTGCAGGAGCCTTGCGTTTTTCCTGCCTCATGAATTCCAGGGGGAAAAAATTATATGGGATGAAGGACTGTGGGGTGGGGTGGAGGAACCTTAAGCAGAGGAGGGGCAAGAAATCCAGATAAACCAACACCATGTTCAAGAATTTACTCCATCATTTCCTTTTAAAAAAATATTGTTGGCATCATGACCCTTATCCCAACACTGACCACTTTGGACGACTTGTCTGAGGGAGGATCCCCATTTCTTAAAATGAGTTCTTTCCTCTTGAAAAAGTTAGTCAACAGCACTCCAGGGAGCAGCTGTGGAGTCTGCAGGAAGCAACATAACCTTCTTTTAAAAGATATATACGTATTTTTAAATGTCCAAGCTTCTTTTTCCCCTCTCTTTCCTCCTTTTTCACTTCTTTGGGTGGCTGAGTCTTTTTTGTCCTATACTCTCCCCATTTTGTCACCTGCCCCACTTCCTAGTATGTAGTTTGAATAAGACTTCCTATTTCATTCCTGTGTTATAGGATTATTTTTTGTTGTTCTGTGGGCTTCTTTGCTCCACATCCTTGACTCCTTCCCCATAACAATGCTCCAAGTCCCCAACCCACTGCCAGGAAGTGCAAGGGTCCTAGTTCTTCCTGGTGTAAATAGCAGTGGGTCATGACAGGAAATAGTTATAATCATGTGGGGGGGGGTGCCTTTATTTGCTTACTGTGTCATTTACCATTTCTATGCAAGCTCGCCATTTGAAAAAAAAATAAGTTTTTCATTGAAATTTATAACAAATAATTTTTCATATTGTTTTTATATACTGTATATATGAACGTAAGCTCAGTGTCCTCTTATTTTTTTCACTGATGAAATCTGGTCAACCTAAAAGTGAGTAAGAGGGTAAGAAATATGTGGCTTGAACCAGAAGTTTTCTTGGAATGGCATGTTTTGTGTGTGGACAGAAAACATCCTAGTAGTTTCAGACATCAGGCCAAACTGGGTGTGTGCCCATCTGTTTAAGGAGCTTTGTGGCACATTGGTTGAACTGCAGTACTGCAGCCAAGACCCCACTTAAGACCCAGTTTTCATTCCAATATGCTCAGGTAGCTGACTCAAGGTTGACTCAGATTTTCATTCCACTATGCTCAGGTAGCTGACTCAAAGTTGACTCAGCTTTCCATCCTTCCAAGGTCACTAAATTGAGTACCTAGATGACTGAGGGGTGGGGCAATGTGCAGCCTGCATAATTAAATTGTAAACTACTCAGTGAGTGCTTGAAACACTATGGGGTGGTATATAACACTTTACATTAAATTGAATATTTAGATATTCTTTTTAGAGGGGAACATCTCCCTGTGTCCTCCCTATAAACACCCCATGGTCCTTACTGGTTTGTTCTCAATCTTTCCTTCCAGACATGTTTACTTTGAAAGGCAATGCCAACGGAGCACCGTGTGTATTCCCTTTCCAGTTCCAGGAGAAATGGTATGCTGAGTGTACGTCTGAAGGCAGGTCAGATCGCAAGCTGTGGTGTTCAACCACTAGACATTATGACACCGATCAGAAATATGGCTTTTGCCCATTGGAATGTAAGTTCTGCGTTTCAAAAATGAAATTCTGAGCATATAGTTAATAGTTAATTCATGTGAAGACTATCAGCTGGTTTGAAACTGCCGGATAGCTCTAGGGTTTTGGCATCTGGTCGTGGAGCCAGAGGTTGGGCATTCAACTCCCCACTTTGCTTTGCGTCTCTTACCATGTTTTGCTTGTAGCCTTTTTTCTCTTTAAAAAAAAGAAAGAATCCAAAACTGAGTATATTTACGGTAAATAAATATATATGTCATAACTCTGAGCAGCGCTTTTCAGCAGATGTCTCTTTTGTTGGCCTGTTTAATAAATCAGTGACAACCTCCTCTTATATGCACAGTATCTTGGCAATAGTGGTAATGGTAACTGACTTGGGACAGTCAATTAGATTTCAGGGCAAAGTATGCAGTGCTCACTAAATGTACATTTAAAAAGACTAGAGCAAATGCACCACATCTTATGGCCCTCCAGATGATTCTGAACTGTATCTGCTGTGAACTCTAGTTTGCATCACCAATTTTGAGGGATGAAGGAAGTTGCAATCCCACATGTAGACTGTCAGAGCTTGCCTACCTTTGGATAAGAGAGTGGGAAAAGGCCTTTGTTGAATGTCTTCTTCTTGACTCTAACCATCAAGCTGATCTTCTGTATATGCCATGATGTAGCTCAGTGCCACTGAAAGTGGTGTACATCTTCCTTTATAATTCCTATGCAAGGATAGGTGCCTGTGGCCCTCCACATGTTTTTAGATTTCAGGAGCTCCATCCTCTGTGGCTAACAGTAGGGGATTATGGGAGTTCTTGTCCCAAGGAGCCAAAGGAACCATTTCCCCATTCTTGACTTATGCAGATCTGTATGACAGCAGTTTTTGTATCATAGAAAGTCCTCCTTTTCTATGTACCAATATTCTCAAACTTTAACCTTCTGGACAGTTTGGGTTCAGTTCCCACTAAATAAAACGGAGCTCCTTTTTCAATGTAGTAAAAGGTAAAGGTAAAGGTTCCCCTTGACAATTTTTGTCCAGTCGTGTTCGACTCTAGGGGGTGGTGCTCATCCCCGTTTCCAAGCCACAGAGCCAGCGTTTTGTCCAAAGACAATCTTCCGTGGTCACATGGCCAGTGCGACTTAGACACGGAATGCTGTTACCTTCCCACCGAGGTGGTCCCTATTTATCTACTTGCATTTGCATGCTTTCGAACCGCTAGGTTGGCGGGAGCTGGGACAAGCGATGGGAGCTTGCTGCATTGCGTGGATTCGATCTTACGACTGCTTGGTCTTCTGACCCTGCAGCATAGGCTTCTGTGGTTTAGCCTGCAGCGTCACCACATCCCTTCCAGCAGCGCCACCACATCTCCTTTTCAATGTGAGCACCACCAAATAGCTCTTGGCCATTCTGGGAACACTGAGTGGAAAAGACTTGCAAATATTCAGATCTAAAGAACTCACAGAAGGATGAAGATGTTCCAAGATGACTTTTAAAAAAACTGTAGATAACTTCAGAATTGTGGTTTTATAATCTCCACAATTACTGCTGCATTTTCTTTAACAAGCATTGTATACTTTTTTTTCCCTCTAGCTAATGGAATATATTCTTTGTGGAATATAGACTCATTGACAAAAGTACTGTACCAGATAAACTCAAATGCAGCTCTAACATGGCACCAAGCTAGAAAAAGTTGTGAGCAGCAAAATGGTGATTTGTTGAGCATCACAGAGTTACATGAGCAAATGTATTTAGCAGGTAAGTTATTGATTTGCATTAACATTTGCTGATGTTTCATATTAAAACAGAAATAAAATAATGCAAAGTTCTTAAAAACTGTACACCAAATGTATGCAGTCTCCACCCCAATATGATCATTGTATACATAGTTGATAGAACTACAACAGTTGCATACCTTTCCAACTCTTCATGATCAGGAACTCTGGAAAAGCCGTTTCTCTGCATCCTAGAAAGATGCCACATGTAGTGTCTAAGGACTCATCCATATTTCATGTATGGATATTGGAAGTGGGAAATGGGGCTCCTGATCTTGCCCCATCACCATCTACAAAACAATACTTGAAAGTGCTGTTGTGACAATGCTTCATAATAGAAGTATGCTCTTCCTTATTTCAAGATAAATGATTCTGTACATACATACCACTGTAAAGAAAGAATGTGAACAAAATTGAGCAATGTGCTGTAGCATGGAAAAGAGGGAATAGTGGGTAGTATTCTCCTGGGATCATGTCATGAAGCAGCCTTTCTCAAGTCTGCATCCCTCCTGATGTTTGGGACAAGAGCTTTCATCAGCCCAGCCAACACAGTCTCACTGATTTCTGTCCATTGACTGATCATTGTTGCTACCTTCTGCTGTTTCCATTCTTCAGATTAATGGCTTGATGTATTCTGCATGCCCATTTAGGCTTAACATCCAGGTTGAGTACTGAACTCTGGTTTGGTCTTAACAGTTTGGACTTCAACAGCGGATGGCAGTGGAGTAGTGGTCATCCTTTCAGATACCTGAACTGGGCACCAGGTAATTTTTTCGTGTGGTCCATGTACTAATTTTGCTCCAGTTTTACTCATGTATGTACTCATCAACTGCTGGATAGCTCAGTGGTTTAGGTATGTGTCTGCAGAAAGAGAAGTTGGGAGTTCAATTCCCTACTGTGACCCCTTGACAGGGGCTGGGCTCAATGATCCATAGGGTGCCTTCTACCTCTGCAGTTCTAAGATTATCACCTATGTTTATTTTCTCTGTTATAACCATAATAAAATTAAACTTGCAAATACTTCCCTCAACTAACAGTGCAATTCATAATGATCCCTTTCATCTACTCTCCTTCACATTCTAGTTTAATAGGCAAACCCGTATTTCTTTGCTTGTTCCTTGTTTTCGAAGGAAGTCCTTCCCCAGAGCCTGGAAAAACCTGTGGAATATTTAATACTGGCAGAGGGGCCAAATGGGAAAGCCGAGAATGTAATAAGAAACTTGGTTACATTTGTAAAAAAGGAAATGCCACTCTGAATTCCTTCATTATTCCTTCAGGTAAGTGGGTAAATAAATAAATACTATGAGATACAGTTGGGCATGTCAACAGTGTGCTCATGCAAAAAAAAAAAAAGGTTGGAACTTTCATTATGTTTTTATTGTTGTTGTTTAATATCAGTGGTGCCTTGCTTAGCGATGTTAATTTGTTCTGAAAAAATCGCTGTTAAGCGATTTCATCGCTAACCGAAATGCGGTTTCCCATTGAAATGCATTGAAAACCAGATAATCAGTGCCAATAGGAACGAATTGCCGTCCTTAAGTGAAAATCGCCATAGGAAACATCGCTAAGCGAAACGCGGTTCCCCAATTGAAATGCATTGAAACCTATTCAATGCATCTCAATGGGGGGAAAATACAACAACAAATTAAAAAAGAGTCAGAACAAAGTCAAATTAGTTTAACAAAGGGTTTATTAAGTGCACTTTATAATTTCAAACATTTTAAACAGTAAACTTTAACTTGAGGCTGTTTAAACCATTGTTAAGTGAAACAGGGGACCCAAAATTTAATTGCTATGTGAAGCATGGTCCCAACCACCGCTAAGCGAAAATCGCCCATAGGGACCATCGCTAAATGAAGCGCAAAAACGCTCTGAAAAAGTCATCGCTAATCGATTTTGTCGCTAAACGAAGCACCCATTATGTGAGGCACCACTGTACATCTCTGAGCTATTTCAAAACCTCCCTGTGGATGTGTCTTTTGAAACTGCTGATTTCAAAAGCAGCTTCTTGCTGTTGCTTCAGATGTTTGTGCTGACACAGGAACATGTACCCAACTGGCTTGTGTAGAGAGGCCTTCCTCTTGGAAGTCAAGCACCCTTGCTAATCTATTGCAAAGGTAACTCAGACCAAAGCAGCAAGAATATCCTTTTTTGTTGTTGTTTAGTCGTTAAGTCATGTCCGCCTCTTCGTGACCCCATGGACCAGAGCACGCCAGGCCCTCCTGTCATCCACTGCCTCCCGGAGTTTGGTCAAATTCATGTTGGTAGCTTCAATGACACTGTCAAACCATCTCGTCCTCTGTTGTCCCCTTCTCCTCTTGCCTTCACACTTTCCCAACATTGCTTATTGGCAGCAAAGGCATAACTGAGTTACATTTCAAAGGTAACACAGTGTTGGAACTTTAACTGCTGTCATTAGGAATACTTTCTAGATAATTTTCAAAGTTGCTTTTTAAAGGGCATTTTAAGACAATTTTTGATACGAATTATTCGAGTTTTGAATAATTTTCTTACCAATCCTAATGTCTCCCCCCCCCCCCCCAAATTAATGGAGAATAATGAAAGGGAAATAAGCAGTTGTAATGAAAAATGGCAAGCAGTTGTAAAAATAAAATGTAGCAAGGAGTAGTTGTATTGCTTGTTTGCATGGGTTGATTTTTTTTACACCTTGTAATGAGTAACTACACTTTCCCCCTAATATACTGCAACATGTAATGGGAACAGATTGCTTTCTAAAAGTAAATTTGTAAGCTGTGGAGATGAGTTCCAGATTTCAGAAAGTTGTGGAAGCAATGTTTCCATCCCAAACTGAGGCGTCAGACTGACAGACAGGAAAATACTTTGCTTTCTAAAGCATGTGCTGATTAATATCCCTGCAGAACAGGCCAATGTGTTGTCAGTTTCCTCCACTCCTTCCCTGTAGTAAAAACATCCAGATGTTTCCCAAGTCCATCTATACAATTTTAAAAGCATTTTCACTTTAGAGACACAAAAGAGTATATTTCTTATGCCAACTCAGGTCCTTTCTGATACTCCTGTTTGTTAGTTATAAAAGAAGGTGGCAACGAGCTACCTTAATTAACAGTGGCTGCAACCATGTACTCTGAACCATTGAAGCCACGGGGAAATAGATTATATTTCCAAAGATATTTTTTATTTAAACCACAGAGGTAGGCAAACCGTGGCCCTCTGGACGTTGTTTGTCTACAAATCCTGATGTTCCTCCCCATTAGCTAAATTGAGTCAGCCTGACTGCAGTCCGATAACAAACCAGAGGGTTGAATTTCACTTTTCCCTGATTTGACGCATCCTTCCTGCAGCTGCCGTCTGGTAGAATGACTAGCCCCGGGAGCAACTTAAGAACACTCACTCCTTAGTAGCCGTTCATGTTTCAGCAGTTGCCATGCTCGTAGGATTAGACAGCTTTTCTGCAACAGGTTCTCAGCACCCATCCAAAACCATACACTTGTGACTAAAGATTGAAAGCTCATGTTCTTACTGCTAATTCCTTCCTCTTGAGTACATGCTCACCTCTGGCATCTATCTTCTGAAAAAAAAACCCTTCCCTTGAATCTAGGTTCACTACCTTCATTTTGCAGAGGAAAGTGGTCTGTTTATAATGATTCAGCTCCTCACTCACGTACAGTAAGTAGTTTGCTGGTGGCAGGAACACATTGTGCTGCTGGAACGAAAATGCCATTTCCTGTTGCAGGCAGGATGGAAATGACAGAACGTGTCCTGCTTGCCAAGAATGGTACTCCTTTTGTCTCATGACTGCTCCATACACTCTAAAACCGTAAGGTATTTTACAGTCTCTTGTGTTTGATTTGAACCACAGTCAGTTCACAAGTGAGGTTCAGAATTGAGAGCTGGAAAATACCTTTTGTTGGGCAATTAAAATATCATGGAAATCCAATCTTTTCAGTTCCTTCTGGAGTGGATATTTCAGTGTGTTGTGCTGGAAGGGGTGGAAAAATCTTAAAAGCATCCTAGCTAGATGTTGAAGCTTCAAGATTTGTGGTTAAGAAAAGCTCCAAGATGGAGACTACAAATATGAGGAATCTGTTACAAGTGTAATGGCTATCAGGTTTCACCATGGAGGTTGTAAAATCCCTTCTGTTATTATCTGCCTCTTAGTTACAGTGCTTCTTACGTACAGTGACTCTACAAATAAGTTACTTTCCAAAAGCCCAACTGTTGACAAGCCTGCTCAGCTCTTGCAAAATCAAGGCTGTGGCTTCCTTTATTGAGTCAATCCATCCGTTACTTGGTCTTTCTCTTTTCCTGCTTACAACGTTTTCCAGAATTGTTGTCTTTTCCAATGAGATTTTGTCTTCTCGTTATGTATTCCAATGTTTGATAGCCTCAGTTTAGTCATTGCTGTTTCTGAGGAAAGATCAGGCTTGCCCCGATCTGGAACTCACTTATTTGCCTTCCTATATACTCTCTAACCTCCCCATTTCTATAGGCAAAGGGCTCCATTGTCCTTTATCTCCATTATTTTCTTATCCCAGCACACACACACGCTGTTTTAGCAGCAAACAGAATTGCCCAGGAGGATGACAATCTCCACTCCAGAATAGCTGGAGGTAAAATTTCAGTGGCACCACACTAGGGAAAAGTAGACATTTAATGCCAAATTAAGAATACTTCCTATTGGTTGAGAAAAGATGGATGCAGTCACTCTGCAGTCCTTTATTCTTGAAGTAGATCTTGCCTTGTTCCAGAATGGGTGTTGTGAGAAGCAGTGATTTCTTCAGTGTTAAAAGACATTTGACTGTGATTGTCATCTTTTCCACTCTCCTGTAGCTTGTACATTAGCTTGCCTTGTTTTGTGATTGGTCATCAGAAAAACTCACAGGTTTTCTTCCTCCAAGGATCTACCCACTACAGTCCAATTTGGTCTGAAGTGTAGCAAGACAGCTTGGGGGGTGTTAGGTGGGCCATGAGGCACACACAATTCTCCAGTATTTCTTTACTACTCCTACAGCTCAGTATCCATATTCAGAGGCAGACGCCTCACTGTGCCTAATGATAGGGACAGCTCTGCCTCTAAGATCTTTCAGTTCTCCTCTCATCAACCCTGGCTTAATGATTAAATGGTGGTACCATGTGGGCAGGGCTACTTGCACCACATTTTTTATTGAATTGGCAGTCCTTTCCTTCCAGGGAAAGCTGCATGTAATTGCCTCTTGACCACTTGATTAAGTGATTTAAATGTCAAGCTTCCTCAGCACTCCTTTTAATGGATAAAGAAACTATATTTTTTTAACTGCATGACGGTCTGATATATAACATCAGTTGAATTATATTTTCTGGATTTGTTTTTCATTCACCTCTGACAAAGAGCTGTTACGTGCTAAGAATTAAATAGAAAATAGCAATGGTGTTGTAAAGGAATTATATTATTTCCTTCCAGTTGGCCTCTTTTTTCAGCTGTTTTTTTCACATCTAAAAAAGGAGTAAGCTCTATCAAACAGTGGGATTTCTGAGCAAACTGGCAAAGTCTTCCTCCTTTTCTGTAGATGTTCAAGGCTTCAGTAAAGCTCAGTTAATATGTAAAGACTATCTAGTGTATGTTTATATAACATAGTGTCAATTCATGTGCCTGGAAAATGGTCTGAGAACACACATCTCAGCACTTCTGCTGACTGGAAATAGATCTAAATCTATAGAATCTGGATGGGGGAGCACCTGAGAAAGATATGAAACTTGTTATGAGTTCATTGGAGGAAAAGTAGAATTTAAGTGGTAAGGAAATGGGGTGTGTGTGTGTGTGTGTGTGTGTGCCCATGTCCATGTCCTTATTTGATTACTGTTGACTGTGATTGTTGTTTTGCAGAATCGAACGTGCCCATTAAGTGCCCTGAAGGATGGATATCATATGCAGGCCATTGTTACAAGACTCACAGAGAAACTGCTTTGTGGAATGATGCTTTAACACTGTGTAGGAAGGAAGGTGGAGATCTGGCTAGTATCCACAGTGTTGAAGAGTACAGCTTCATAATATCTCAGCTTGGGTACAGTGAGTATTTATACAGACAGGAATTTGTTAATAACAGTTTTATTTAAAAAATAACATGTTTTTGTCATTTCCTCTTGAATTGATTTTTTGGGGGATGGAAAGAAACAACAGGAGAAAGTAGCAAATGGAAGACTATGACTTCTAGACCTTCTGCAAAATTCCATAAACAGGGCTATTTGATAATATAAAGCTTCATGTAAAAGGCCTTTGGTATTATGCAACTTTCTATTTTTAATCGTGCAGATGACAGTTTCCTAAGAATGAGTCTCTATACAGCTATACTTTTGTACATATTTTAGCGGCCAGAATCCTATCAGAATTTTATTTGACAGTAAATGAAATTGTGCAGCTGGTCAGGGTGCAATTTGTTGCCATGACTTTTGCAATTTCACTTAGTCTAGAATAAAATCCAAATAGGAGTCTGACCATAAGTATTTTGTTCTTTATTAACAGTTTATAAAGCTGGCCTTTATAACTGCTTGAGAAGAACAGCTGATAGTCTCAAAATGGCATTGTGGCATTTAATAAGCCATCCTCCATGCATCTTTTGAGGTTTTCTCTCCATGCTTTTAACAGGGACGTGGTGGCGCTGAGGGTTAAACCTCAGAAGCCTCTGTGCTGCAAGGTCAGAAGACCTGTGGTTGTAAGATCGAATCCACGTGGCAGAGTGAGCTCCTGTCGCTTGTCCCAGCTCCCGCCAACCTAGCAGTTCGAAAGCATGTAAAAATGAGAGTAGATAAATAGGTACCATCACGGTGGGAAGGTAATGGCCTTCCGTGTCTAGTCTCGCTAGCCATGTGACCATGGAAGATTGTCTTCAGACAAATGCTAGCTCTATGGGTTGGAAACGGAGATGAGCACTGCCCCCTAGAGTCAGACACAACTGGACAAATTGTCAACGGGAACCTTTACCTTTACCTCCATGCTTTTGCAACCAATCTATTCTCCCACTGTAATAATTGCATGCCATCAAGTCAATTCTGACATAGAGCAAAGTTTTTCAGAGTTTTCTAGATAGAGACTACTCAGAAGTGGTTTGCCACTCCCTTTTTTCTTGGGGGTACCTTGGAACTGTGCAACTTGCCCAAGGCCACAAGGGTGACTCTACCTACAAGAGGCACAATGGGGAATTGAACTCCCAACCTATGGCTCCTCAGCCAGATACTTGAACCACTGAGCTATCCAGCTAGCTTTCTTTCACCTTAAGCTGTCCATATTGGGCTATGCAAGCCGCAGAGTGAGGTGGCAGAAGCTTGTAGTGTAAGAGTGGCCTATACCTCTTTGGATGACAATTGGGAATGCTAATTTTGGATGTTCTTGTGTGAATATTCTCTACAAACAAAAAACAAAACATCAGGAAGACTGCTCTGCTGAGGTAATTTTGAAGGCTGCTTCCCTAGGACAGTCTTCAAAAAATATATGATTCTACATCTGCCATCTGCAGCAATTAAATCCACATTGTTGCATTCTGCTACTTTCTGCTGACCCTTGAGAACTAGATATAGCAGATACTGCTTCAGCAGATACAATACTGTGCAACTCCTCGTTGTACAGATGTTGGCTCTGGGGTAGGTTGGAGAACACTTGAGCAGCATGTGGGAAGTTTGGTGCACATTGATCCACTCAGTTGCACCATAGCCCCAAACCAGGTAGCGTTTCAATGAACTTTGAAAATTCACGTGGGCCATAAAATTTGGCACTGGGTGGCCAACTTCTGTATCTCACATTACAACAGAGATTTGTCGTAGTAGTAGAAGTTGGAAGAAGATTGTGGGAACAAATAGGAAAGTAAGTTTCAGGAATTCAGGACCAAGAGCAATAGGGGAAACGATAATTTAAGGAGCAATTATGTCTGTCACGAAGCAAAGACTAGTTTTTAAAACAAGGGTGGGGGACAATGAGTGGCAGAAGCAAAACAGCATACTACATTCTACATGGATTTTGGATTAGTCAGAGGAAATCCTGTGTGCACATCTTGGCAGTCACTCCTTATTCTTCTATCCAGGTTAGTGGAAGAGGAAACACCTGCCATATTTTGGCACTGGATCAGTAACTCGGTTTCAATGGTTGACACACTTACCCTGAGCTTGGAAAACTCCTTTGTAACATTATAATGGACTATTCTGGCTGCCGTACCTTAGCAGTTGTAGCCTGAAAAAGCAGGCATGTTTTTTCTGAGCTCAGTTTTATAAGTAGGGATAGCAAAGAATGGCACCTTAAATGCTGGTGTCTAATATGGAATAATGATTGGGGAATCCAGGACATTTCTGCGGTTCAGAAAAGTTTATGCCAAACAAATCTGGTAAGTTATAAAATGATGACATGGGAGATGTGCATGGTGGATGGGCTTTAAAATAGATAAACATTTTTATGTTTCTGTATTTGAGAGATGCACCAGCTGGTGTAAAATATGGGTGCTAATGTCCTTAATAAGAAAAACAAAGCATGCAACACAATTTCTCACTCATTAGCCTTAGTTTCCAATAAATGTCCAGGCAAATGTAAAGGTGCTGTTAACACGAGACTTTAATAAGAGCCACGTTGCAGCAGACCAAAGGCATATTTCTGTTGCAGTTTTAAATTTTGCCTAAATTCAACTCTTCCCGGAGTAAACCACCCCTTATTACAGCTCATCAACTGGCACTTAAAATGTTCCGTTTACTCACAGTTGACTAGGTCAGAACAGCATACAAAAAAGACTGCTTACGGACTTTTCAGCAACAGGCTTCAACAGACTCACAGCCTGCTTCCACCAGACTCCTGCAGACAACATTCTCAGCTACTAACTGCACACTAAGTGCATACATACCAAATTACATTTTGACTGCCAGCAAACTAAAAACAGGAAAAAAGAACACTTAAGCAGAGAAGAGTGGCTCTCTTCAAAATCTGAGGCAGGGAAGGAACAATTGGTTACCGCTCAATTGACAATAACCCCAGCTCAGAAGGGTCCCTCCCAGCCAAACCTAGTGAAGGCAGCATACAAGAGTGAAATGATTCTGATAATGTCAGTATTCTAAAGACACAATGGCCTAACAGTTGCCTATTGAAAGCCCAGAAGCAGAAATGCAAGTAATCCTCTATTTCTAAATTTGTGATAGTAAATTCTATGCACTGTATGAAGACTTTCAACTCTCCTGGATCTTTGCCTTAGGTCAGCCAAATTTTTACTGATGCCATAGCATAAATGGAACAGAAAAAAGGGTGTTGGGTTTTGGTAGCAAAACGGTTAAGTACCCGGGGCTTGGACGTAGCCATTATTAACATTTAAGTCAACTCACTCCCTCTTTCTGTGTAAAATGAACTGCTGTTTTTGTTTATATGTGAATTAGGACCAAATGATGAATTGTGGATTGGGCTGAATGACCTTAAGCTCCAAATGTACTTTGAATGGACAGATGGGACTCCTGTAACATACACCAAATGGTTCCGAGGAGAGCCAACTCACAGCAGCAACATGCAAGAAGACTGTGTTGTTATGAAAGGAAAGGTAAAACCTTGTCACGGTCTCTCACAGTTTACATTGCCTAAGCTTATTTCCATTCCATTTTATCCAGCTGGATGTATTACTTCTGCCCAGTACCATATTTGATATTGATGTCATTTGAGCTGAAAGCCGTCACCGCGATTTCTCTCTCCCCATGCTTACAAAGAATGGAAACATATTTCTAGCAATGTATTGAGATGTCTCACTTTCAATTGAGATGCAGTCCTTCCATTTTTTTAAATAAAAAGGCCTTAGATAACTTTTTGTGGTATCAGGTTTCCTTGATTGAAAGCCTGTTACAGGCTGTACCCCAAATGACCACCAGTTGAAAGCCAAGGCATCCTCACTCACTGTTCAGGAGTCCTAAATAAAGTGAGAGGTGACAAACCATGAATTGAATTTGGGGACCTACATGATAGTCCCATTCCCAAAGTTATTCTGTCCCATAGCATTTAGTATTTATTTTATTCCATGGTGATCCAAAATGATTGCATGGGGATTATCCAGAGTCAATACCAGTCTGACGTAAGAGACCCTCAAGGCAATGGAGCAAGAAGGGAACTCAAGGCCATCTACCTACTCTATAAAAGAGGGATATAAAAACTTTGGTCCTCCTTATGTTTTTCCCTGTATGTTACACTGGAAAATAGTTGTGGGATTTGCTGTCTCAACTACCCAGAGGACTGGAGATTCCCCATCGTTGCTACAATGGTGCCTCACAAGACAAGTGCTCCGTTTTACGATGAAATCGCATAACGAAAAGCGATCACAAAAAGATGTTTCCTATGGGGGAATTTCGCTTTGTGATGATCGGTTCCCTGCTTCAGGAACTGAGTCTCACAAAACGACGATTTTCCTACATCTGATTGGCGGTTTCAAAATGGCTGCCGGGTAAAAAAAATGGCCGCCTGCTGTTTTCTGGGACGGATTCCTCACTGCATGGGCAGCGAAAATGGCCGCGCTATGGAGGATCTTCGCTGGACGGGGAGTTTCAAGCCCATAGGAACGCATTAATCGGGTTTTAATGCGTTTCTATGGGCTTTTAAATTTTGCTTTACGATGTTTTCGTTCTACAGCGATTTCGCTGGAACGAATTAACATCATAATATGAGGCACCACTGTATAGAACAGTGGTTCCCAACCTTGGGTTCTTCAGTGTCCTTGGACTACAACTCCCAGGAATCCTGACCAGCACAGCTAGTCGTAAAGGCTTCTGGGAGTTTTAGTCCAAGAACATCTGGAGACCCAAGGTTGGAAAATACTGTTATAGAGCAAACGTGCAACCAGACACACATCCACCAATGGGTGCCTTCAGAATGTCCCCTTTGGCCAATAACATGTTTTCTTCCCATATCCAATTCAGGATGGGTATTGGGCGGATCAGCCGTGTGATGCAAAACTTGGATACATTTGCAAAAGGAAACCATTAAAAAATGCTCCAGAGGAAAAGGAGATCATTGAAGAAGGCTGCCAAAGAGTAAGCGGAAAAACTGGCAATATGGGGGCGCCTGATGATTGTTTTGCCCAGTTCTCTTTGAATTCCTTGTAGTGCATGTGATGTTCCTTGGATTAGAAACACACGCAAAGCAAGAAAGAATGGAATGAACACATATTCTCATGGATTTCTTGGATGTTGAAATAATGTTCTTGATATTTAAGATGTCAACTTTCTTACTGTTGACTATTTCAGGTAGGCCTCTGGGATGCTAGGTATTTTAAAGAGGGCCTCTCCTGAAAATCTCAACAACTGGATTGGATTATCATACAGTTGTTTTAAGGAATCCATGATTTGTTCATGGGTTGTTTGCTTTTCTTCACCAAAGAGTCAAATGGAATCACTTGGGGTGATTCTGGCAAACTCTCCCCCAAAAGATAGTCCCGAATTCAAGGCAAACAAAATCTCATGTAGCTGGAGTCACTCAGCTTCCAACATCTGCTGACATTCTGCCATCTTGTGAACAACAGTTGGCTCCCTTTCCCCACCAATATTCCAGCAGTAAAATTCATGGTTAGGAAGAGAAAATATATCATTGCATAAGGAAGCTGAGGCAAGACTACCTGAAACCCTAATGCTATATTCTTTCGCTGCAATATTGCTGTTAAGAAGTACTCTCTTAATGAAACAGGTATATTTTCCATTCAGGAAAATCCCTTTCACTGATTAAACATCACCAATATCCTATTTCATTTAAGGAAGTATTTATCTGGATTAGTTTCTGTATCTGCCAAGGTTTCGCCCTTGTTGTTTTCATTTGGATCTTGCCTTAGTTTTCACAGCATTTTAGAAATATAAGCCTGAATTCTGTGGATTATTTACGTGTATGTAAATTACGTTGCCTAAATCAGTGGTTCCCAATCTTTTTCGAGTTGTAACACCCTTTTATAATCGCCAAGTAACCTGCAAGCCCCCTTGCCATGTTTGAATTAAAAAAAACATTTTAATAAGGTAAAGTCATCCCTTCTCAGAAAGTAGAGGCTTCTTTCTCCTTCGAAGGGTCTGCTTCTCGCACAAACATACTAACTTTAATATCCAGATCCAAAAGGTCAAGGAAGAAATTATTTCACAAGGGCTACAACACATATTAGGTGACTGGTGACCCCCCAGAAAACACTTTACGACACCCAGCAGGGTCACGATCCCCAACCTGGGAAACACTGGTCTAAATCAACAAGGCAGATTACCACTTATTAATCATGCACTGGTTGCATTATGAGGTGCACACCCATTTGTGCAAAAGGCATGCATCTAGTAATGTGACCAGAGTCTTGTAAGTTACCAGCAACTGATCATAGTGAATTACACAGTTTAACTTAATGCATACATAAATCATCAAGAGGATTCTGGCCACAGTTGTAAACAGAATATGTTATCCATACCTTATAACAGAGCATATCTATACTATACATGGTCCCTGCATGTGTGTGCTTTTCTGTGCGCATGTATACACAAATGTACCTACACAAAATCCTACATGCATGTATACACACATAAACACAAATGGCTTTCTTTTTTTCCTTTTTTTTCTCCCAACAGGGCTGGAAAAAACATAGTTTTTACTGCTACATGGTTGGAAATGTGTTTGCAACATTTGCTGAGGCAAACCAAACATGTAAAAAGGAGGGGGCTTCTTTAGCTTCTGTTGAAGACAGGTGAGAATTTTCTGTTCAAGATTTCCAAAGGATTTATCATCATTTTAGTCCATTGGTGCTAAACCTACGAAGAGTCCCATGGCAACATGTATTCTACTATAGCTATAATCTAGTTCACTGAGGCAGGATGTTTTATCTGGATGGTAATTATAGGAAGAAAAGACTGGCAATTACTTAATTAAAACTGACAATTCACGACCCTCTTGCTGATAACACAGACATCCTGACACTGAGAAAACCAGTTAAGACATGCAGTGTGATAAGAAAAAAATATATTTCTGATTCAAACCTCTGGTGATACAATGCAATTTACTATGTTTACTCGAATGCAATTTACTATCTTAAGCAACAGGGATTTGGCCATTAACAGAGAAGGAAAGTTAGGATCTGGTCCCATATGCTATAGACAAATAGTTGACCAATGCACACAGAACACATCATATGGAAAGCCAGACTAAATCAGATGAAGGAGGAGTGAAAAATGGTTGAAAACATCTATAATTTAAGATATGCAGATGATACCGTCTTACTGGCAGAAAGTAGCAATGACTTGAAATGATTTCTGATGAAAGTAAAAGAAGGAAGTGCCAAAGCATGGCTGCAGTTGAACATTAAGAACATAAAAATCAAGAATATAGAAGAGCAATAAAACTTTAATGCAGACAATGAAGAAATAAAGATTGTGAAATATTTTATATATCTTGGTTCAGTCATCAATCCAAATGGAGACTGGAAGCCAAGAAATCAGAAGAAGAGTGAGAGTGAGATGGGCAGCAATGAAGGACTTAGAAAATATAATCATGTGTAAGGATGTGTCAATGAAGACCAAAGCTAAGATCATCCATACTCTTATATTCTTGATTACTGTGTATGGATGTGAAAGTTGAAGAGTGAAGAAATTTGACAAGGGAAAAAACTGATTCATTTGAAATGTGGTGCTGGAGGAGAGCTTTGTGGATACTCTGGGCTTCCAGAAAGGCAAACAAGTGGATCCTCAAGCAAATCATGTCTGAATTATATTTGGAGGCAAAAATGACAAAACTGAGGCTGTCCCACTGGTTTCACATCACATCCTGAGAAGGCAGGATTCACTGGCAAAGACAATAATACTGGGAAAAGTTGAAGGCAACAGGAAAAGAGGAAGACACAATAAAAGATACATTGATTCCCTAAAGGAAAGCACAGGTTTGAGTTTACAAGGGCTGAGCAGGCAAGTTGGGGACAGCATATTTTGGAGATCACTCATTTATAGAGTCACCATAAATTGGAGGCAACTTGATGATACCTAATAATGGCCAAATATTCTATAAGGGATTAATTTGCTCATTCACTACAGTGGAAGCATAAAACTAGTGCATTTTTGATTGCAAACAATAATTTGTAGAAATGACACATTCTGTGTATCCCCTTTCTGCAGATATGAGCAAGCTTATCTGACCAGTTTGATTGGGCTCAGACCAGAAACATATATCTGGATTGGCCTTTCTGATATGGAAGAAAAAGGAACATTCAGGTGGACCAGTGGAGAACCTGTCACATTCACTCACTGGAATTCAGACATGCCTGGTAAATAGATGTCTACTGTAGAGATGATTATGGACTAAGACACAACCCAATGGAGTTTAATACCTTAAGAGGGTTGTACAGGGATTCCCACTGAACCATGGAACTCACTGGGTAACTTTTGGCTAGTCCCACTTTCTCAGCCTAGCCTCACAGGCTTATTGTGAGAATAAAGAGGGGAGCAGGACAGCCATGACATGAAGCTAACTGGAATGGTACCAAGACAGCAATATAACAATGAATAAATAAGATGGCATGATTTGCCAGTGAAGGGCCAAATTCTTTTTACCTTTCTTACCACATTGGAGAGAGGCCATAATTCAGAAGAAAATTCATTTGCTGACAGATTTTTTTGGGGGGGAAACTATTAGCTGAAACCCTGTTGTGTGAGTTATGCTGCATAAGGCTTATGATGTCATCTGCATCAGTCATTTTTCAGAAATAATAAAAAAAAATCCTATTCTTCCCCAAAGGTCCTAAGGCAGCCATGGAATCTCTTTTCTTGTGGGGAAGCCCTGGAAGTCAGTGGGATTGGCAGGTGGGGACAGATATTTTCATATCTGAAAAATGTGGATGCCAGGATGACTTTACGAGCAGTGCCAATTTTCAGAAATTAAATAATTCTCCTTATCTCTTTAACCCCAACAGCTTCCCCAAGATGTAAAGGATTCCAAAGGCGCCTCAGAGCCTTTGGTCAGGTTGGGGACATCGTAATAAACTAGGAAGTAACCACAGATAGCTTCAATCTTTTGGTTTTTTTAAAAACCCTGAAAGGTGTAGTTTAGTACAGTGGAGTTGACCAAGGCAATTATCCAGTACAAACCCCTGAAGCTAACTGTCTGAATTTTAGCACGTTTAGTTGGGCAAGGTCTCCAAATACCAAATACATAAGTGCAAAACAAAACAAAAAAATAATAATACTCATTTTGGTTTCCCAATGCAAGTAAATGGAAGATTTAAAAACTGACTCATATCTAAGCTACGAAGTGGTGTGGTTCGAAGTTCAATTCCCCACTGATCATCTTTTCTTTTTTCTTTTATTATCTTTTTGATGCACCCCACTTTAAATAACATAATTCTGTTTGTCTCTTCATGTGCCACGAAGGACGGAAGCCGGGCTGTGTGGCTATGAGGACTGGAATTGCAGGAGGCTTATGGGATCTTTTGAACTGTGAGAGGAAGGCAACATTTCTCTGCAAGCGTTTAGTTGACGGGGTGACTCTTCCACCTCTGCCGACAACGACCCCTGCCCCCAGATGCCCGGAAGATTGGGGTTCCAGCGATCAGAGGAATTTGTGCTTCAAAGTATGGAATTGGAGTTATATAATGATTTATTTAAGCAGGGATAAATGTGCGGAGAGTAACTGGGGGCTGCATGTCATTGGGGACTGTTGATGATGGTGGTGGGGAGGACAGAAGACAAAACTCAGCAGGGCCAAAGTCAAAATTGAGTGGGCCATCTCTTTTTCTTTTTTTCTGCCATCACCCCTACCCCCACCCTGCTTTTCTTCTCGCTCAGCAAGCAGCCAAGGAAATCACAGATTGTTTTTTTTGCTAGACCTGAAATAATTATTTGCAGAAGGCTTCTGAGACTTGTGTGTGATTCAAGGCCCACAGCTTGCCCACTCAAATTATAATGAATTTCATAGCATCTCTCATCAGGAAGTTCCATTTATCACAATATGTTGTGCCCTGTTGTAAAATAATATATCATTGTTAGGCTTTTTCAGGAAAAGAAGACCTGAAGACGTGGGCTGATGCTCGAGGCTTTTGCACTGCTCTCGGAGGTGACCTGGCCTCCATTAGCAGCCTAAAAGAACAACAATCACTATTTCGCTACTTAACGTGAGTTAAGGACTTTGTACTCTTTCCTCTGCCATAATTCCTGTAGGAAATGCCCCTCACCTGATGAACAGGGGGGAGGTCATGAGACCCGGGAGGGCCATATAAGTCAATGGAGGGATGGAAATATTGCAAGGGGTGTGATCTAAAGAGCTTTGGAGGTCCAAGATGTTGTGATGTGTGAAGCACCATGAGATCCGCCCTTCCTGCCACAGGCTGCCAAGGCAACAGGAGCCGTGGCAGTATGCCATCACATTCCTTCAGACTCTCCACATCGCACCTGCTGAAATGGGGTGCATTTGTGATTGAGACTGAGGGAGTTAAAACCTGGGTGCTCTTAGGACTTCCAGAGAATGGTCCTGCTTGGATTGGTGCAGCTGGAGTTAGCAGCCAGGAGTTAAGGCAATGGCATATAGGATTCGGGGTGAGGTTCTCCTAGTAACAGGCCAGGTATTCCATGTAAAGGTTGAGGAAATTAAGCCACAGATTAATTTCCTCAATCTTTACATGGTCCTTCTGCCCATCTGGGTTCCTTCTTGTTTCCTGTATGTCCAACCTAGAGTGGTCGCAATGACCAGATAGGCGGGGTGTAAATGGAATAAAAAACAAACAAACAAACAAACAAACATTCTCAATTTCATGGCCAATAGACAGGCTCACCTATGTGAGCAATGCCAGAGGTCACCCCATAAGACCAAAAGTCACCAATTCATGGTTGTCACAGACTGATGATGCCTGAAATTGTCAGAATAGTCAATCAATCAATAAAAACCTGAATAAACATTCTCATGGCCAATAGACAGGCTCAGCTATGTGAGCAATGCCAGAGGTCACCTCATAAGACCAAAAGTCACCAATTCAATGGTTGTCACAGACTGATGATGCCTGAAATTGTCAGAATAGTATTCTTATGCTGCCTGTTCCCAGTTTTGCTGTGGAATTCTGGGAATTGTAGTTTGCAAAATACTGTTCCTTGTGTTTGTCTGTTTTTGCTGCCCCCTGGTGGAAATTTTTTACCTCTGTGGTTGTCTCAATGAAACTTCTCTAAACCATTTGGGTCTAATGTACCTGAGTCAGACAGTATGGGATAGCTGTAAAGGTATGGAGTGGATACCCAAAGAGGAGATGGTAAATTGGAAAGCACAAAGCTTGAAGTTTACTAAAGAAAAATTTTGACAGGAAAATTTAAAAACTGAATTAGATATAGATACATAGGTGCATGCATATATACATGATTATTAGCAGCAGCATCATAATAAATCAGTCAAGAAAAGCCATGTCCAACTAACTAGTTAAATTGTGTCATTAGCTTGTCCAGGATCAAAAAAATATCTTACTGACTTTTGACCAGTCCTCTCAATCAGTTAACAAATTTTATTTTATTTTTATCCCACTCACCTAGTGGCTAGACCACTACTCTGGACAATTTACAAAACATAATGTAAATATATACTAAAACTACAGGAGTAAACTAAAACATTGCACAAAACCAAGTCTCTAAAATTAACTGGTATACATATATGAACTTGTGTGTGCTTGTTGTTTAGTCATTAAGTCGTGTTCGACTCTTCGTGACCCCATGGATCAGAGCGTGCCAGGCCCTCCTGTCTTCCACTGCCTCCCGGAGATGGGTCAAATTCGTGTTGATAGCTTCGATGACACTGTCCAGCCATCTCATCCTTGGTCGTCCCCTTCTCCTCTTGCCCTCACACTTTCCCAACTTCAGGGTCTTTTCCAGGGAGTCTTCCCTTCTCATGAGATGGCCAAAGTACTGGAGCCTCAGTTTCAGGATCTGTCCTTCCAGTGAGCACTCAAGGTTTATTTCCTTCAGAATTGATAGGTTTGTTCTCCTTGCAGTCCAGGGGACTCTCAAGAGTCTCCTCCAGCACCACAATTCAAAAGCATCAATTCTTCGGCGGTCAGCCTTCTTTATGGTCCAGCTGTCACTTCCATATATCGCTACTGGAAAAACCATAGCTTTTACTATGTAGGCCGTTGTCAGCAAGGTGATGTCTCTGCTTTTTAAGATGCTGTCTAGGTTTGTCATTGCTTTCTTCCCAAGAAGCAGATATCTTTTGAGTTTGTGGCTGCTGTCATCATCTGCAGTGATCATGGAGCCCAACAAACTAAAATCTGTCACTGCCTCCATATCTTCCCCTTCTATTTGCCAGGAGGGGATGGGACCAGTGACCATGATCTTAGTTGTTTTTTTTTAATGTTGAGCTTCAGACCATTTTGGTGCTCTCCTCTTTCACCCTCATTAAGAGTTTCTTCAATTCCTCCTCACTTTCTGCCATCCGAGTGGTATCATCTGCATATCGGAGGTTGTTGAGATTTCTTCCGGCCATCTTAATTCCGGCTTGGGATTCATCCAGTCCAGCCTTTCACATGATGTATTCTGCATATAAGTTAAATAAGCAGGGAGACAATATACAGTGTGTGTGCTGGCAGTTGAAATAATATTCATTCAGTCACGTAACCTTCATCTTGCTCTAATCCTCTGTCAATGCCTTCAAAATCCTTTCTCTCCCTGACTACACTCAAACTGCCTCCCACAAACTATGTTTTGATTATTGAATTTAAACATTATTGGGCAAAGATGAGTGGAAAAAAAGCAGATGCCTTATTTTAAAGAGAAAGCTACCAAGATTTCATAAAAAATAATTTACAATTTCAACCACAATGGCAAGAGTACTTTCTAGTTGTATTTAATGATTGTCTTCTCTAGAGAATTCAGAACGTTTTGAGCAGTTTCAAATAGTTATCTATGACAACTGATTTTGTAGAACAACATATCTCTACATCTTTGGTTATCTTATATTCTTGTGGTATTTCAGGAACTATGGATATGACAACATTCATTACTGGATAGGTCTAAATTATCTAAGTCCAAAAGAAGGTTTTGAATGGAGTGATGGCTCTCCAGTGAGTGACTTAATATTTTTTCTCTCTCTCTCTTTCTCTTTTCATATTGTATTGTTTGTGTCCTTGGATAGATGGTGCTGTTAAACTGAAAGGCAAAAGAATTGGAATACAGCACCAAAAAAATTTCATAATTTGAATTTAATTGGATTATTGAATAACCCGAAAACCATTTCAGTGTAAACCAATTTGACAAACAATGTGAACATGGTGAGATTCACATTAGCCAGAATCCCATTGAGGTTCAGAGGTTTGTGTAATTTGGTGTGGCTAACTGATGGAGTAGAAGGGCATGTCTTGGCCATGTGCCTAATATAACACAGATGTGCCCTGGCACCTCAGCAATTAGTCAATGTGAAGCCGACGTTGCACAAACCTTGCATGAACGCTAAGAGGATACCAGCCATTTTAAAAAAAATACTGCTTTTAAAAATATCATGGTGATGACAATGTCTGCTTTTATCTGAGTTTTCCATTGAAACATAGCACTTAAGACTACAAAGTGTATGCAAACCAAATAAACTACACACAAAAAACATTACAATAAATCACAACAACAATTTATATCAAAGGCCAGATTGAAAAATTGTTTTGTTTTCAATATCAAATGAGGCATACATTTAAGTTCTGCTGGATATGCAGTTTTGAATGCTATATATATATATATATATATCCAAAAATCAGGTTCAGATTTTTAAATTCCCATTTTCTTATCTTCACAGTATCACAGAAGTCTGAGATATAAAGTAAAGGTGTATCCAGACAAAAGCAAATCAAATCCAAAATGTATTGCTATCTTAAAAACTTATATTTCACAGTGAAGTTTTCTGTTTCAGGTCTACTTCCACAGGTGATTTGCTTGCCCTCAGATTGCTTCCAAAATTAATTTAACAAGCACAGCTGTATACTATTGAGGAGACGGTTTTAGAAATCTTGTCTAACAGACTGGTTTTCAGGTCAAGGCTAGAGTATACAGCTGATATCGAGACAAATATAAATTCATCAGGTGAAAAAAAAACTTGGTCAATACTTGGGAAATCTCCCCAATATTATGACTAGTACTGTTCTTTAAGACTGGATCTAGTAGAATGAATGAATGAATGAATGAATGAATGAATGAATGAATGAATGAATGAATGAATGAATGAATGAATGAATGAATGAATGAATGAATGAATGAATTCATTCATTCATTCATTCATTCATTCATTCATTCATTCATTCATTCATTCATTCATTCATTCATAGTCCGTCCTTCTCCCTATAAGGAGACTCAATGGGACTCACAGTATTAAAGAGAACAGATTTTTTTTAAAAAAAGTTATATACTAAAAACAATTAAACAAATTAAAATGAGCTGAATAATTAAAAACATGTAAAACATTAAAAATAGAGATGGGCATGGACTGTGGTTCTGCACCTTGGTGAAGTTTGGTGGATCATGCCACAGGTATTGCATGGGGGCCCTGGATTCCCCACCCTGCCTTCTTCCACAGGCGTCCACTCAGAGGCAGCACCTCAGGCTTCCCTGCCCCACCTCCTCCTCTGAGTGGCACCCACAGGAGGAGGTGAGGCGGGGTGGTGAATCCACGGAATCTGTGCAACACCTGTGGGCTTGATCTGCTGAATCACACTGAAACACCAAGCCACAGTTTGTGCCCATCTCTAGTTAAAAACTATGGTGATTTTTAAAAATGACATCTAGGGATGCAGTCATGACTGAAATGCTCTTCTTGGAAGCAAACGTTAACACGCTTATTTCTGCTTCAGTTTGGGTATGTAAACTGGGGATATGGAGAACCTAATAATTATAACAACATTGAACACTGTGGAGAGGTACACGCAAATTCTTGGATGCGGTGGAATGATATGCACTGTGATGAATTATTTGCTTGGATTTGCCAGATTCCAAAAGGTAAGATTTCTTGCCATATTAATGTAGAACATAGACAAAAGATGGTTGAAAAGAACAAGAGTTACAAAATCTGAGGAAGCAGGCTCTGTGCCCAAGAAAGCTTATATTGTAATTAATCTGTCAGTCTTAAAAATGCCATGGGACGTTTGATTTCATTTGTATATTGCCCATCTGGCTACCAAGGCCACGCTGGGCAGTTCACAACAGAAAATAGAACAATAATCAGCAACAGTAAGTCAAAATAAAATAACATCAAAATAATATAAAAGAATAAACATACACCAAACATGATGAACTGGAAACATTATAAGCTTTGAAATGTAACTTTAAAAAATAACATTTAATAAAAGTAATCAAGATAGTGGAATCACTAACTTAAGGGTTAGTGCCATCAACTCTGTTTTCATGGTTTTCCAGGTAGGGAATACTCATAAGTGGTTTACCATTCCCTTCTTCTCTTTATTAACTGTTCTGTATGGTTTTTCCTATGTCCTCTATTTATGATCACTGTTTTCACGGTTTTCCAGGTAGGGAATATTCATAAGTGGTTTACCATTCCATTTTCCTTCTCTTTATTATCTGTTCTGTATGGTTTTTCCTATGTCCTCTTTATTGTTTGTCTTGCTTTGGGGCCAGGATTGTTTAGGTATCCATACAACTCTGCTTCACACAACCAGCACCTTGTCAGATCATTGTGGCAGCTTCTGCAGGGGAAACTGTGTGCATAATAGGCTACTGGCCAATATGTTGAGAATCTGGGAGTTTCAACTAGCTTGGGCATCATTATGACTCTAAAATCTCTGACAGTTTCAGCAATGGACATGCACTTTACACTAAAATCCCCTTCTCTTTTTTTAAAAAACAGGAGTGGAACCAAAACCTATACCAACAGATCCACCTTTGCCAAGTGAGTTTGTTTTGATTTTTTTCTTGGTTTGTTTGTTGGTTGGTATAATGGTCTCACTCGGGTTACCAACAATTAGAGTGGAATTAGGGTTCCCGTATCTTAATAGGTGGCATGTGAATACATGTTCCTTATAGATTAAATATAATTGTGCAAGTGTATCAACCATCAGCCTGCATCTACATGCACATAGATTAGATACACACTGATGATCACTCCTACTATGGGACTGTATATTTGTCGTTGAGGTCACTTATGGTGACCCTATTAGACTTTTTGAGGTCTGTGAGATGTTCAGGAGATGCTTTTTAATCGCCAATCCTCAGAGAGCTTCCATGGCCAAACAGTGACCTAAACCCAGGTTCCCTGAATCTTAGTCCAACAATCCATCCTCTACACCTAGGTGTCCCCAAACCCTGGTCCATGGCCCAGTGCCGGTCCGTGGCCTTGGCAGGACCAGCCCCACCACTGCGCACAGACCCCACCCCCCTAACCGGTCCGCAGTTTGGAAAAGGTTAGGGACCACTGCTCTACACCACACTGCCTTTGAACTTTGAACCAAACCAAACTTTCTGTCTAACAAGAAAGAGTCTGCTCTCCCCCCCATAAAAATAAAAAGGTGAATCATCACGCTTAGAAGCCTACAATCTTCCCTGATCCAATGGGAAATTAATAAAAAAAATTTTAAAAAAAGAAACCTCCAGGAGAAGCAATCCATTTAAAAAAATAAGTTACAGGAGAAGCAATCCATTTAAAAAAATAAGTTACAGGGCCCACAGTAGGCCCTGTAATTTGCAATGCTGCAAATGCTCATTTTTCCAGATCAGAGTTCGACTTCCAACCACTTCCAGCTTCTTTGTGGTTGATTCCCCCCCAAAAAACCACATTTTTTTCCTGTGATATGCATTTCCCACAGGCCAGTCCTGAGCTTCAGACAGAAAATGGGCCTCAGGATTTGCTGGAGCTGTGCTGTAGACCAAGGTTTGGATAGCTACAGTATATCACACAAGTGAGTACACCACCTCACATTTCATAAACATTTTATTATATCTTTTCATGTGACAACACTGAAGAAATGACACTTGGCTATAATGTAAAGCAGTGAGTACTGTATACAGCTTGTAAAACAGTGGAAATGTCTGAGAGCATGAGAGCGATAACATCTGCTCCCCCCTCACACCTGAGACTTGTGTCTCTAATGGGTCTCATTACACCAGGGAGGGAAAACGGCTACTTGAGCCCAATTTGGACAGTGTCACTTAGGGGTTTGCTCACTTTTGTTGCCAGTGGTTTAGAGTTTAGACATTCATCGCTGTGTTATGCGTTATTTTGAGGGGACAGCACATTTACACTGTTATACAAGCTGTATACTCACTGCTTTACATTGTAGCCAAGTGTCATTTCTTCAGTGTTGTCACATGAAAAGATATACTAAAATATTTCTGAAATGGAAGGGGGTGTACTCACTTCTGTGATATATTTTGCTGGATTACATTTTCATAATCCTTGACCTTTCAACTCTACTGGTTTGGTTGGTGGAAGTTAGAAACATCCGGAAGCACAAAGATTCTACCACTGCAACAGAGAGTGGCTGCTATTTACATGGTATGGAAGGCAAAGCATGTGCCTTAATTTATACCTTGCATGCTTTTTCGTTGCATGAGTGATTTTGAAAAACAGCCTCAGCTCTTCTTTTATACGAAAGGGTGTGAATTCAATCTCAAAATATGTATCTCTGCCATCGATCACTCTTGCAGAATTTGAGCTTACCCCTGATGGATGGGTGGTCAATGGAGACAAACAGTATTATTTTAACACTGATAAAGTACCTATGGGAACAGCACGGGCATTTTGCAAGAAGAACTTTGGGGATCTAGCCGTCATTGAAAACGACAATGAAAGAAGGTTCCTATTCAAATATGTAAGTCACTCCTATATTATTTCTTCATAATTGTGTGATATTTATTTTTATTTTATTTATTTTTGGACTTATATACCGCCCCATAGTGCTACAAGCACTCTCCGGGCGGTTTACAATTTCATTATGCAGGCTACACATTGCCCCCCCAGCAAGCTGGGTACTCATTTTACCAACCTCGGAAGGATGGAAGGCTGAGTTAACCTTGAGCCGGCTACCTGGGATTTGAACCCCAGGTCATGAGCACAGTTTTAGCTGCAGTACAGCGTTTTAACCACTGCGCCACGAGGCTCATATCAAATCAAATCTAGCTTATGAGAATCCTTTTCAGGGTTTTCCAGGTAGAGAATATTCAGAAATGGCTTGCCATTCCCTTTTTCTGGGACACCCTGGGGCTGTGCAGCTTGCCCCAGGCCACACAGGCTGGCTCTACTCTCTGGTAGCACAGTGGGGAATCCTAAGCTCTGGTTCCACAGCTGAATTATCTAACTCATTGAGGCTGGTCAGCCAGCCATATATTCTTTCTTACCAGGGTAATTTACAATATTATATCAGAAATTTTATTTATGAAATTATAATCTGAAAGTTCGATCCTCTTCTGTTTTTATGTTCACCCCTCAATATCAGAGAGTATACTGTATGTAGTATATTATCCAAAAATGCTACTACATGGTGCAGGTGTGTACCGAGCAGTGCCGGAAACAATACAAAAGAACAATAGAGTCTTTTCAATGCAACTGCCCTAAAATTTGAACTGTCCAAAAGATAAAGATTTTTCTATCCTTATCATAACTGTAGTTTTAGAAGAGGTAGCTGTATTAGTGTGCGCAAGCACATCACACAAAACCTAAATATTTTTTTAAATCAAAAAGACAAAAACCTTGCCTTCTCTGTGAAAGCTCATATTAAAATACAGTATAACAGTTTTTAAGGTGCCAAAACCTTTTTGTCTTTTAAATTTTTTATTATTGTTTTCTGTAGGTTGTGCCTGATATTCTCTCTTTATGGATGCAATAACACAGTTAATTTTCTGTTATTGCAATGGTTCCCAACCTTGGTTCCCCAGATGTTCTTGGACCGAAACTCCCAGAAGCCTTCACCTGTAGCTGTACTGACCAGGATTTCTGGAAGCTGTAGTCCAAGAACATCTGGTGAACTAAGGTTGGGAACCACTGGAATATAACTTCAAGAGCATAGTCTGAATTTGCTCTTGGAATAACAGGGGCAAAAATGGAGAGACTAACTTCAAGAGCATAGTCTGAATTTGCTCTCTTCTCATAGCCTTAGAAGTTATTTTTCCTGCACCTTTATTCATCAGAGTTTGTAATACTGATTTGTTTTTAAAGGAATTGCAATATCGTACCTTTGTTTTTAAAAGTAATACTCTGAAATTAGTGTTTGCTTTAGATGTAACTTCCAGGAAGTAAGAACAAATGGATACATTTTCCTGTTCTTTCCTGTTCTTTATTTAGATGTCACAAAACGCCACTGTAGATACCTACTTCATTGGTTTACAACTGAGCCTTGATAAGAAGGTTAGGTATGTTAAAATTAAACAACACAGCGTATTATGTGATTGTGTAACTCCCTTTCTCTGTGGGTACCATCGCAGTTGCTGAGCGCTAACATTGTGACATATTTCCACCTACATACCACTGTATGGATTAGTTGTTCTTTGTTAAAGTCTAGCCAACCTCTGAAGTTACTCATCCGAGAAATCTCTCCTCTATCTCTTTCACATTTACTCTCAATCTTCTCTTCAATGATGTGTTGCAATATATTTGCCATGACAAATTAAGTGCCCAAAATATGAGTGCTTATGTTTCTTAATAATGAACTTTTTATTTTCCTATCCAATAAAGTGCATCTTCATTTGATATTCTCCCAGGCTGTGGGATGTGAAACATTCTCCTGCATATCTATATTTCAATAGCACGTATTCTGTTGAGCATCTCCTTCTTAATAGTCCAATAATCACATCTATATTGGAGGGTTGCTCATATATAACACTTTAACATTCTCAATTTCAAAGATGTATTAAGCTGTTTGTTACATAACAATTTAAGCAACTTCACAAACTTGTTCTAGTTATCTCAGTTCTTCACTTTATTTCTATATTACAATCTATGCGTTTGTTAATCAAGTGTTCGAGATATGTATATTTGTCTGCTTGGTATCTATGTGAATTGTCACACATAGTTATTTATATTGATATTATTCCTATATATTGTATTGAGTTGGGGTTGGGATTTTTTGTGTGGTTTTGAGGGGCATTGATTGACAGTCCCATGTTGTTACTTTCTTCCGTGGTCCAGTTTAACAGTATTTATTTGAAGGTCATTTGAGATTCTTGCTATCAGCACTATGACATCTCATGTCTTACATTATTCAAGAGTATTGTATCTATTTTAATTTATTCAGTATATTTCTATGCCACCTCTCTCCTGACAGTGGGACTCAAAATGGCTCACAAATAATTAAAAGAGCAAGAATTAAAAATAACATGTAAATAGCAATTAAAAATTATTAAACAGGAAATCATTAAAATCATCATTTAAAATAGATTAAAAACATGAAAACATTTTAAACCACTTCATATATATGAGTACACTATTTAATACCGTCAAATAATAAAGTACAAACTAAGGAAGACCAATACCTTTCACTTGATAAATTTTCCCACCCTCCCTTCCCAGAAAAAATATTTGTAGAGCTGGGGAAAGTGCCAAAAATAGAACTAACATGATAGAGGCTTGAGCTTTACATCTAAGAGAAAATAAAACTGCATGGTGGTTAAAACAATAATCCAGTCATGTTGCTCCCTTAACCATCCATAGTCTAGAACAGGCAGGTCTGTAAAGTTCTGCTAATATCAGCCACAGAAGGGAATTCCACAGAGATAGGGCCACCAACATCAAACCAAAACAAAATAAGACAACCCCCCATGATCACTGTTTACAACAATTGGCATACTTAATGGATGTTAAATTGGTCTTAAGCCTTATCTACAGAGATGGATCTGTCAACTCTTCCTTAAAGTCAATGACTGGAGATAACAATAGGAATCAAGTAATTTGGCTATTTTTTCCCCTTGAAGATTTCTCCCTACCTTGAATGACTTAACCATGTTGAAAGAAATATGATAATTCAATAATTTGTCTTTAAGCTGGATGGATGGAACGCCACTGCAATATGTAGCCTGGGCACCACATGAACCAAACTTTGCAAACAATGATGAGAACTGTGTCGTCATGTACAGAAGAACAGGTGAGTGGGCTGCTGTGTATGCTGGTTTATGTGTATATGCTGGAAAGAACAAATTTGCAGTGCATATGGCTGATCCTCTCTGCATGCATCCTGTTGCTTTCGGATGTTCCTTTGATTTGTCCAAGCTTCAGTCATTTTTGCTTGTCCCTCTGCTTTCATGGCATTATCTGATCTCTGTGATACAATAGTGTACTTGTGCACGTTTTCCATTGACTTGCATGCTCTGATATTATGATGTATTGCATTTTGAGTGGATTGATTATTCACGTATTGAATCAGAAGTAAGTCTTATTGAACTCCATGAAGTCTGCCCCTCTCATCTAAGCTCTGCTCACTAATACATATGCTGGGGATTACTGCACGACAACGCACCTTTCCATGCCAGCCCCAGGTGCGCAGTGTGACCCAACTCCAAGTGTTGTTGGTCAAAACATTTTTTTTCATATCTCAGTTTAGGAAGTGAAAGTATTTGGAGACTTTTTAAAAAATCCAATATACCCCGAGATTCCCCCAGATCTCTTGGTGGCGTCTGCTATCATTTGTTGTAGTACAATTCTGGATCACTTGCCTGTAATGGTAGTTAGAAACATTATATTCCTGTGGTTGGGCATTTTCCTTGAAGATGTCACTGGTGTCACTCCATAACATTTATGCAGTTTGTTCCCCATGCTACTTCGGCATCTCATCTCATTTCTTTTCATTTTATTTTGTACATATGCCACCTATATAGGAGACGCAAGGCCTTGAAGATGGCACTGATGTCACTCCATAACATTGATACAGTTTGTTCCCCATGCTACTTAGGCATCTCATCTCATTTCTTTTGATTTTATTTTATACATATGCCACCTATATAGGAGACGCAAGGCAGCTCACAGTCCATTAAAAGCTACACAACAATCACTGTTAACAACATCAGTAAACCAATATTTAAAAAATCACAATTAAAAACAAATTTTAAAATACTTACATTTAAAGAAATTTCTAAATTCAGTCAAAGCGGCATTCTTAAAAGCCAGATTGAAAAGGATGGTCTTTGCTTGACAACTGAAGGACAAGAGGAATGAGGCCAAATAGGAGTCTCAGAGCAGTGCTTTAGAAAGCCTGGGAACAGCCTCTGAGAAGACCCTCTTTCATGCCATCAAGCAATGAGCCTAAAAGGTGGTGGTGAACATCTTACAAGCCAAGGAGGCTCATATGGGACGATGCAGTCCTTCAGATAATCTGTACCCAAGCTGTATAGAGCTTAATATTCAGCACTTTGAATTCCACCCAGAAACAGACTGGCCCAGAAATAGGTTCATGAAACCACAACGAGAGTTCATCTAGATAGAACTTTGGAGTAGAATGCTGTCTGTATATGAAATGTTTTCTGAGCTAGTCATTAATGTTCTGTCTTGTATGGGTGCTTAAAGCCAGTTACGGGTTGACTTTGAGTGAATAAACTGACTGGAATTCACTCCTAAAGCAAGCCATGAACATGATGGTCAGTGATGTTCTGTCTTGTATGGGTATAGAGCCAGTTATGGGTTGACTTTGAGTGAATAAAGTGACTGGAATTCACTTCTAAAGCAAGCCATGAACATGATGGTCAGTCTTCTCCAGATGGAATTGTGCTACTGCAGAAGGATCAGGTTCACAAGAACCTGTTCTTTAAGCAGCAGTATTACAAGATCTAGGGTGAAGGGCACCTGTACCTTTCCTTAGGTAAAGGTAAGGGTTCCCCTTGACAATTTGTCCAGTCGTGTCCGACTCTAGGGGGTGGTGTTCATCCCCGTTTCCAACCCGTAGAGCTAGCATTTGGCCAAAGACAATCTTTCATGGTCACGTGGTCAGCGCGACTTGACACGGAATGCCATTACCTTCCCACTGTGGTGGTACCTATTTATCTACTCACATTTTGCATGCTTTTGAACCGCTAGGTTGGCAGGAGCTGGGACAAGCGATGGGGGCTCACTCTGTCACGTGGATTCGATCTTACGACTGCAGTTCTTCTGACCTTGCAGCACAGAGGCCTCTGCAGTTTAACTTTACATCAATTAAAATGAGTGCACAGGTTGCACAAGCCTGTTGTGTCTCATCCTGGCTTGTTCTCTTGATGTTTTAGTTTAGCGTGACCTGCAAATATGGCCAATACATTGTAACCTTTCAAAACTAACTACTCAAATTATGATCCCTTGTTCTCTTATGTTCAGGACTTTGGAACGATATCAGTTGTGGTTACCCAAACTCTTTCGTATGTGAAAGACACATCAATTCAATCAATGCAACTGTTGCTCCAACAAAACCTTGCATTCCAGGAGGATGTCCAGAATCGTGGCTTTTGTTTGAAAATAAGGTACAGGTAGAATATTCTTTTTGCAAGATAGTAACACCAAGGGCCACAGGACTATATATAGAAAGAGAAGGGAATTGAAGGAAGAGCTGTTTTGTGACCCATGGCCATCAGCCAGAGAGAAAATATATTTTATACTGCCCTCGATATTGCAGTGTTGAAGTACAATTTAGACTTAGGCTCTGAGGTGTGTTGTTGTTATTGTTATGTGCCATTATGGCTTCTAATTTATGGCAACCCCATGAATGACAGGCTTCCAAAATGTCCTATCCCCTACAGCCCTGCTCAGCTCTTTTTAAAAGGCTGTCAATCCATCCCACATCTGGTCTTCCTCTTTTCCTACTGCCTTCAAAGTATACTGATGCTGTAATTCAGAGGTCAATGGCCAGTCGATTCTGGGTAGCTTCTGTTGTGGGATTGGGTAGCACAGGTACATGGCGACATGCAAAATTTCTATTCAAGCTGGGAGTAGAACCCAGCAGTGACAGTGGAAAATAGTTCCCTCTCTCTCTCTCTCTGTCTCTCTCTCCCTCCCATCCCCTCCTTTCTTGATCACTTGCGTGTAATGGTAGTCAGATACATTATATTCCTCTGGCTGGGCATTTTCTCAGTAGCTGTTCTGATTGAGGAGTTGTATTCAAAAAATATAACTTTTCTGAGCATAAACAGGATGATCACAAGTTCTTGATCTTTCCCCTGTTAGGAATTGTAAAGGCTCTTGTCTCCTCATCGAGTTGTAAGATAGCAGCCTTTGCAACAGATTAACCTCTGTTCCACCTATCTCTGCATCTGAAAATAAGCTCAATCGGGTTCTATAAAAATATTATTACCTCATTATTGTTGGTTTTTTAGTGCTATAAAATTTTTGGATATAATGTGGATGACCAAAAATCTTGGAATGATGCACGCACACATTGTCAAGCCCCTGAATTTAGAGGAAACCTGGCTACCATATCTAATGAAAAGGAACAAGGTAAATAAGTTGAACTAATGTTGAACTACTATTTGTAATTGAGGCTCTGTTTGTTATGAGCTGTTTCTGACTTATTGAAACCCTAGTAGGTTTTCATATTCCAAGGCATATGAAATGTTTAAGGTCTGGTTTTGCCAATGCCGCCCCCTGTCAAGGCATTTCACTGTCTCCATGGTATGAGACTGACCTGGGATGGAGCCTTTCTCAGCTAGGGAAGAGGCAGACTAGCTGGCTCCCTTTCTGTCGCAGAGCAATATCAAAAATGTCCTTACTTCTCAAGGTAGTTAGCTGCCCTGCTGTGTAGTTTGCATTTTAAGAGTGAATGGCTTGACTTGTGAATCATCTTGCTCTCCTTATTGCACGGCATCTGGTATCCATGTTCCTGGATCCGTGATTTTTCTGACAACATATCTGCATGTCATTTTATGGCCATCTAGCCCTGCCTTCCCTTTGCGGGTGCACTAAAAGCTGGTATTGTTATATCCCCTCCCCAGTGCGTTTCCATGGCTGAGTGGGATTTAAACTCGGGTCTCTGAACCCTAGTGCAACATCCTAGTCACCACACCATCTTGGCCTACAATTGCATTTAGGCCCTGTGTGTTCTTGGAATTGTAAACTCAGGTCTCTGAGCCCTAGTGCAACATCCTAGTTACTACACCATCTTGGCCTAACAATTGCATTTAGGCCCTGTGTGTTCTTGGGATTGAATCCTGGGAAACAATGAATTCTATCTGTCACTATTTGTTGGGTTTGGATAAAGATGTTAAACTATGATTTGCTGTAACCTACATAGGACATTGCTGGTCTCCTAACGCATGGGAAGAAAGGGAAATGTGTGAACCAGCTCTCTCTCTCTCTCTCACTCACTCACTCACACACACACGCACACGCACACGCACACGCGCTTCCCTTTGCGGGTGCACTAAAAACTGGTATTGTTATACCCCCTCCCTAGTGAGTTTCCATGGCTGAGTGGGATTTAAACTCAGGTCTCTGAGCCCTAGTGCAACATCCTAGTTACTACACCATCTTGGCCTAACAATTGCATTTAGGCCCTGTGTGTTCTTGGGATTGAATCCTGGGAAACAATGAATTCTATCTGTCACTATTTGTTGGGTTTGGATAAAGATGTTAAACTATGATTTGCTGTAACCTACATAGGACATTGCTGGTCTCCTAACGCATGGGAAGAAAGGGAAATGTGTGAACCAGCTCTCTCTCTCTCTCTCACTCACTCACTCACACACACACGCACACGCACACGCACACGCACACGCACACGCACACAATGCATGCTTGTATTTTAAAAAGTCTTGGGGCTGTTTGTGTTGATAACAACAAGCTGACCGCTCTCTCTGTATTCTTGAGTTTCAGGATTCATTTTGTGATCTTAAAGTTTTCCATGCTTATTTCTATTGCAGTGTCCTTTTCCAAATTATTTCCCTTTCTGCTAGTTTATTACAAAATCCAGGCTTTCAGAGGATGGTGGTTTGTTTGTTTGTTTGTCTGCTTTTGGTTGAATTATCTCTCAAATTTTGGATGCCAACTTCCCCACTTCCTTCCTTTCTTTTAGCCTTCCTCACTCTCCATTTAAAGAATTTGCCAGCAGAAGCCTGGATAGGATTGAATGATATCAACCATGATCAAATGTACCTCTGGACAGATGGAAGTGGATTCCATTATGAAAACTGGGCAGCAGGTTACCCATCATCTGGATATGCTAGCTCCTCAGTAGGTATTTGATCACATTTTTAGCCCTATTGAGACATCAAGGAGGCATCTAATGGTTACATATGTTGAGAGGAATGTGGTAGGCTTATCTCGTCTCTTGCTGCATTGAAACACGACTGTCTGAAAAGAGAGTGAGGCTGCTGTACCTGAGTAGGGTCTCCCCATGAGCCAATTCTGCACTCCAGAACTGGGGTTCTGACACATATGGAAAGGTTACCTGAATAATATACCTTCTCCCTCTTCAAACAGTCACATTTCCCTCTTCAGTGTAATGGAGAGGAGGAGACTAACATGCTTTCACCAATACATGTGAGTTCCATATGCCTCCTTAATAACTGAATTGGGCTATTCTTAAATTAAGTAAATTCTACTAACTTCCTTGAAAACTTATCCCACAGCTTCCTTGTTTATATCTCAGACCTACTTAGTCAGAGCTTGAATTTGAGCAAAAGATGGGTATCTCTTTCAGAACTAGGGTCTGAGGGGCATCTAGCAGGCAGAAAAACAAGAGCTAGAAAACTGAACAAAATCCAAAGCTCACAAGTAGTGGTGCCCTGCATAGTGACGTTAATCTGTTTAAAAAAAAAGCATCACTATCCGGATTCCTCGCTATGCGGGGCAAAAAAACCCCATAGGAATGCATTAAACCCCTTTTAATGCGTTCCTGTGGGGGAAAAACTCACCGCTATGCGGAAATCCTCCATCCGGCCACCATTTTCGCCACCCGGTAAGCGAGGAAACCGCGTGAAAATGCTGTGGGTGGCCATTTTGTTTACCCGGCAGGCATTTTGAACCGCCGATCAGCTGTTTTAAAAACATCGCAATGCGAACATCGGTAAGCAAAACGCTTACCGATCATCGCAATGCGATTTTTGGTCATATAAATCATCGCTATGCGGATTCGTCATTAAACGGGGCACTCGCTATGAAGGGCACCACTGTAGATGGACTGTCTAGTTCATTTGTTCCCTACCTTGGATCCCCAGGTGTTCTTGGACTAAAACTCCAAGAAGCCTCCATCACTAACTGTGCTGATCAGGATTTCTGGGAGTTGTAGTCCAAGAACATCTGGGGACTCGAGGTTGTGATCCACTGGTCTAGTTGCTTCTGACGTATGGTGACCCCCATAGGGTTTACAAGTAGAGATGGAGGATTTGTATTCATCACCTGGGGGAGACAAATACAAATCCCCCGTCTTGAGAAGGGCTTTTTATTGGTGTTATTTCCTCTATGGCTGAGCAAGTTTCTATGACTGAGCATGGATTGGAACCCAAGTCTTCAGCACTTTATCCGCTATACCCACTGGCCCTTAAACAGCTTTATTAGGATCAACTAATGAAGTCAAGGGAAGTAGTTAAGGAGACAAGGACAATTCTGACTGTTGTCCAAGCAAAGTTCAAGCCAAACTCAGAAGCTCTGATAGCTCAACTGGGTAGACCCATTGAATCATAATAGCCGTATAATAGCTTGCAAGGGAATAATTATATGGGATTGCGTAAGGCTGGAAACTCCTTACAGTGTGGTCTTGACTTGAGAACTTAATGAGTTCATTTTCCAGTGGGCTATTTCAGTCGGTTCAATTATGAAAAACTAGACTAAATGCCCATGATCTGCTCTACAGCACTTCAAGAAAATAATCCATATAGTGTGGGATTTTCAATTTCTAGAACATATTCAAAGCAGGGGTCCCAATTTTGTCAAAAATCAAATGTTTGAGGTTCTAAAAGTGATAGTGGGGATCCTATACAGGTCTGTATAGATAGAAATAAATCCCACTGAATTTTATACATAGTAATCACCATATTCCATGGTAACTCTATATAAGATTTCAATCAAAGGACATGTAAATGGGAATTGTGTACACTCCTAGTACACTTATACAAGGCACAGCTGCAGTTAAAGACTATCTAACGGATAAATTTTACCGTGGTGCCTCAACATACGAACGTCCTGGCATACGACCATTTCAAGTTACGACCAGCTCCGGCCGCAAACTTTTGCTTCGATTTGCGGCTGGAGCTTCCAATTATGAACAGAAAAAGGCAGGGTAAAAAGGCGAGAAATTCAAATTACTAAACGTTGGTAGCGAAGAGGCTCTTCTTTGTAGCTCTTTCGCCCCAGCAGTTAGAGAACGTGTGTTTGGAGGAGGCTTCGAACTGCCTGGTAAGGTGAGGTGCTGCTTTCTGCTTTTTAAAAACTGTTCTGGGTGGGTTTTGCAGCGTGGTTTTGGGCTGGGTTGTGGGATTATGTTTCTATGCTGTGATGGGTCTTGCAGGGTTTGTTTGGTTTGGGGGTTGTTTTTTCCCCCCATTTCTGATGGGTCTTGCCAGGGTTAGTTTGCTTTTTGCTTTGCTTTTTTTGCATTTACGAAGGGTCTTGTTTGCTTTTCTTTCTTTTTTCCCCCTTCGGCTGGAACGGATAAATCGCGTTTCTGATGGGTCTTGTTGCAGTGTTGTTGTTGTTGGTGTTGGTGTTGGTGTTATTGTTGTTGGTTTTCTGGTGATTTTGTTCTTTGGCTGGAATGGATTAATTGGATTTCAATGCATTCTTATTGGAAATGGTGCTTTGACTTACGACCATTTTGAGTTACAACCAGAGTTTTATATTTACATTTACATCTGCATAAGCTAAATTGTGTAACTCACTGATGTAACACACAAGGCACTGGGAACTGTTGAATAGCTAAGGCTAGGAGTTCGATTCCCCACTGTGCCTCCCTGACAGGGGATGGACTTGATGATCCATAGAGTCTCTTCCTGCTCTGCAGTTCTATAATAATAATAATAATAATAATAATAATAATAATAATAATAATAATAATAATAATAATAATAATCATTATCATTATCATTATCATTATCATTATCATTATCATTATCATTATATTTATTTAATTTATTAATTTATTAATTTATTAATTTATTAATTTATTTATTTATTTATTTATTTATTTATTTATTTATTTATTTATTTATTTATTTATTTTTCCTGGCTATAGACTACTCACAGATACCTAGTTATTCATAGTACAAGAATGCTAGAGCAGATAGGCCAGCATGTCTCCTCTTATGTATCACAGTAAAAACTATTAAGTCAAACAAAATATATTCTTCATGTTATATGATAATTATCTAGCAGGACCACTTATTTGTGAGATACTGTCAAAAATGTTATATCCAAGTTTCCACCAGCGGAAACCCTGCCCACCCACAAAGTTCCAGTCAAAGACAGAACCAGGTAGCTAGCAAGAGTGGCTGTGAGTGCATGACGCTGAGGCAGCGCTGTACAGCCACGTAGCTGCACAGCTTAGTTGCTGTGCAGCTACGTGGAGCCATGTTGCTGTGTCTGCCAACTACTCCTAAATAGCCAGTTTACTTCCAATTGCTAAAGGAACAGGTGTACAAAGGCATAGATAGCTCACAACTGGAGTAGGGGAGTACTCTGAAATATGAAAGTGCTCCCCTGCTCTGTCCACCACCTGCCCATATACAAAACAGACTGATGTGAAGACTTCTCTGTGCCTTTGGCTCCAGTTTTTACAAGGGCTACAATTTATTATTTTCACCCAGCTATACTTTCCAATCTGTGGGTTCTGACTAGGGACAGAGACAGCCTAGGGACAATAGAAATATATGCTTCAAATGTTTCTCCTTTCTGGAACATCTTTCTTTGGTGTCAGTTCTAGAAGGTGTTGTAAATCTTCATAGAATTGTTCAATTTCAGTCTCCTCAGCAATGCTGGTTGGTGCATAAACTTGGATTATTGTGATGTTGAATGGTCTGCCTTGGATTCGTATTGACATCATTCTATCATTTTTGAGATTGTATCCCATTACAGCTTTTCCCACTCTTTTGTTGACTATGAGGGCCACTCCATTCCTTCTACAGGATTCTTGCCCACAATAGTAGATATGATAATCATCTGAGCTGAATTCGCCCATTCCTGTCCATTTTAGTTCACTGATGCCCAGGATGTCGATGTTTATTCTTGCCATCTCCTGTTTGACCACCTCCAGCTTCCCAACGTTCATAGATCTTACATTCCAGGTTCCTATGCAGTATTTTTCTTTGCAGCATTGGATTTTCCTTTCACTTCCAGGCACGTCCACAGCTGAGCGTCCTTTCGGCTTTGGCCCAACCACTTCATTAGCTCTGGAGCTACTTGTACTTGTCCTCCGCTCTTCCTCAGTAGCATGTTGGACGCCTTCCGACCTGAGGGGCCCATCTTCCAGCGTCATATCTTTTAGCCTTTTGTTTCTGATCATGGGGCGTTCTTGGCAAAGATACTGGAGTGGAGGACCGAGACTCTCCGCTGGCGGACAACTTTGTGTGTCGACTCTTCATTAACTCCTCTCTAAAGTTAATTGCTTTCTGTTTGTAGTGATCACCTAACCATTAGCCTTTCTTTAGTTTTGTGATCACTACATAAACAATCATAATATAAATAAATAAATATCTACAATGATATATTGGAACTTTCTTGAACTTTATGAAATGGTCCTAATCATTTTAAGGAGAGTAATGCATTGGTTTTAATTTCTCCCTTACTTTTGCAGATCCTAAATACTCTCTTCTTCCATCAACAACCCCAGTACGTCAACTCTATTATGAAAATAGCACCTATTTCTTCATCGAATCAAAAGTGACTTGGAAAGAAGGCCAGCTGGGGTGTCAGATTCAAAAAGAAGGTGCAGTCCTTGCCAGTATTTTAGAGCCTTTCAGTCAGTCATTCCTATGGCTGCAAGTGTTAAAGTACAGAAGCCCCGTGTGGATTGGGCTTAACAGCAATGTGGTAAGTGCATCATGTATTCCTTAGGTAGTATAAGAACTTCGGAAGGACAGATCCTGAAGCTGAGGCTCCAGTACTTTGGCCATCTCATGAGAAGAGAAGACTCCCTGGAAAAGACCCTGATGTTGGGAAAGTGTGAGGGCAAGAGGAGAAGGCGACGACAGAGGACGAGATGGCTGGACAGTGTCATCGAAACCACCAACATGAATTTGGCCCAGCTCCGGGAGGCAGTAGAAGACAGGAGGGCCTGGCGTGCTCTGGCCCATGGGGTCACGAAGAGTCGGGCATGACTAAACGACTAAACAACAACAAATAAGAACTTTGGAAGCAAGAGCAAATTAGAATCCACTCCTACTACTTTTGTCTTGTTCAAAAAAAAATCCCAGAAACAATGCAGGAGTCCAGAGTATTTACTGTATGTTACTTCACACTATGAAGTATAGCAGAAGAAATGTGTGGACTTCACCCTCATGTTTATCCAGTTCCTTCTTGTCTATATAGCATAGTGATTTTTTTTGCATTCTGCATGAAGTCCTTCAGATACATGTGATTGTTAACACTCACCCTCATGTTTATCGAGTTCCTTCTTGTCTATATAGCACAGTGATTTTTTTTTTTGCATTCTGTATCAAGTCCTTCAGATACATGTGATTGTTAACATAATTGTAATGGTCTAAATATGCACTGTCTCAAGAAGACTGGTGTACATGTCGTTACCATCCTTCTTTAAGTAGCTATATCTTGCTGAAGAATGACTTGTCCTCCTGCAGCTATATCACATGGCTGTAAATGCTGATGCAGTCAGATGTGACTGCATCAGCATTTCCAGCCATGTGATATAGTTGCAGTACACCAGTCTTCTTGAGACACTGCATATTTAGACCATTACAATTATGTGAACAGTCACATGTATCTGAAGGACTTCATACAAAATGCAAAAATAATAATAATAATAATTGCCGAGCTCCTAAACTAACTAGAGGTTTATCCAAGATTTTTGGCAAATACATACCTATTTGCCATAAATCTTTGCTAAACCTCTAGTCAGTTTAGGAGCTCAGTTGAGGTACAAGCAATCAAGCAACACAGGTATCACCCAATGAGCATTAATGGGTGCTGCATTGTACATTAAAAGATCTATCCATAACTGCATTTTCAACTGCCCATTGCTACACTTAAGAATGAGGTAATTTTTTTGATCTTCAGTAGAAATGAGCATAAATCACAAAATGAATCACCAAGTTCATTCGAAAATCGCCAATTCATCAGTTCATATTCAGACGAATCAGTGCCCCAACGAATACGAATTAATGAAATTTTTAGCAATTTTTTATTCATCAATTTGTTTACCTATAAAATGGCCCCCAAGGGACCAAAGACACCAAAACTGCAGACAAGCTTCCTCCGACTCTCCTCTACAATCCCTACAAACCTTGGTGAAGGTTGGATTTCCCAAGTTAGATGCTAAAGGGCACTTTCCTGGGGGAACTTACTATATAGGTGTATAACTTGGATGTCTGAAACCCAACCTTCACTAAACATGGGTGGCTTGTAGAGGAGAGTCAGTAGAAGCTTCCCTGTGATTTTGGTGTCTCTAGGTGCATGTGGGGGAAACTTTCCTGTGAGGTCTTCTTGTGGATGTATAACTTAGACATCTGAAACCCCTGCTTCATCAAACTTGCTGGGCTTGTACACAAGAGTCAGAGGAAGCTTCCCTGTGAAGTTGGTATCTCTTGGTGCTTGGGGAACATTTTGTAGGGTTTTAAAGTAAAAATGAAAAAAGTAATACATTCGTAATTCGTAATTCATGAATCAAAATGAATCACAATTTTTCTGATTTATGCCCATCTCTAGTCTGCAGGTAATCTGGACTTCATGGATTATACAAAGTCCAATTAGGATTTATTATTTCTAGATTAGATTGCCTTTACTCTTGTTCAACCCTGATACTAGAGACAAAAGGAAATCTCATCATGTTTTTTCCCTTCATATGGAAAGTACACTCTGCTAGTCCCACCCTGAAACCTAGTTGTAGCAACTAGCTTCAGTAGTGCCCCATTGCAAGAGCTTTTGTCTTTAGAGTTGTGTGTTTTTAGAGTTAGTGCAAGGAATCCTATAATTTTATGCAATTCCTAAAGATAATTTTCATCCTGTAAGCATTATGTTGGATTTAGACTAGACTTTCACAGTTGTTATTAAGTTCCTTTAAATGCATTCCCCGTGAAACTACAGCAAAATCTTGTGAGCAAGATGCCAGAATCAGCTGCTGCACTTTTTAAAATTTCAGTCTGATCCCAAATTACAAATCATAATGTTGTTTGAGTAATTTTCTCCTTTAGTAATCAAACTGAGGATGCTCTGTTATACATTAGTCACTGATCTATAATCAATTTCAAGTTTACACCAGTAAATACGAGAATAGAGTAGCTAAAATCTTGCTGGTTACTATAGTTTTTATCTGTTTTTATCCTTTTTAAAAGTTTGTTAATCTCTTGAAGTGCTGTCTTTTAGTAGGAAAGTGGGATATAAGTCTAACAGACAAACATAAAGTGGGGTATAAGTTTAACAGACAGACATAAAGAAAGTTACATTAGTGTATCCCCATTGAATAAGTGGGGATTTGATGAGCTAACGTACATAACTAAACTAAAATAAGTCACAACTAGAGTAAGACCATTTGAATCAATGGAGCTTACAGATCCACTAAATCCTAATTGTCTCAGTGGCTTACTCTAGTGCCTTACTCAGCTAAGCAGCAGGATTCCAGCCACTGAATGAAGTAGAATTCTTTAGTTGTGTGAACCTCCAGTTCAATTAACTAAATATTTGTGCAGACGGGGACCTCTGAGCATATAACACTTATTCAGCTCACTACTCATGATGTTTCTTTTACGACTTCAGGCATGCTGTGAGTTCAGCTGCTGGAGATGCAGCGAACATGTATTGCATTTTGAAGTGGGTACACAGCAAAGCACTTAAATGTAGGCCTAAATGAGCCAACCACCCTCAACCCACTTGCTTGAGTAAATTTGCTTATATGATCTGTCTCTGTCAGGAAATGTTATTAACTATGCACTGACTTTTTTAGACCGGTGGACAGTATTCATGGATGGATAAATTTAGAATGAAATTCACTAACTGGGCTCCAGGGGAACCAAGACAAAAATTTGGTTGTGTCTTTATGGATCTGGATGGAACATGGAAGACAGGATCATGCGATGAACAATATTTCCCACTCTGTAAACATTCCAGTCGTAAGTAAACGAAGCGTCACATTAACTCTACTGTTTAGGCGGAGGTAGGACCTCACAAATTACGAAACCTAAATTCTGAAACACAAATTCTGAAATATGAGAGATTTGTTCTGAAGAGAAACCATGAAGTTATTGGAGGAAACAAGGAACAGAAATAAAACACATAAATACTCAGTCTTTCTGTAATAAACAATCTGACTTCCATTTGATGCAGCTGTTTATCCGGTTGTAGTTTTTAAAGAAATTGCTGCATCTGTGGAACATCTCAGATAAAAACAAAGCAAAACAAAACAAATTGGTACCTTAAAGACTAACTGCAATATTTACTGTGAGAGCTTTCATAGATTCAGTCCACTTCCTCAGACATGAGAGTGAGACTATATGACATGTCATATTTATACATGGCCCCTTTATCAGGTGATACAGATAATGGACAAAGTGACAATGGTTCATTAGCAATGAAATATTTATTTATTTATTTATTTATTTATTTATTTATTTATTTATTTATTTATTTATTTATTTATCCCCCGCCTATCTGGTCAATACGACCACTCTAGCTTATCAGGCTGTGAATAATGTCGAATATCGGCTATGCAAACCAATTACTCTTTTAAGAATCTAATTTAAGCTATTGTTAGACTATTTTACCAAAGAGACAGGAAGCGTGTGTGGGTAGGGAGTTAGTGTCGCAATAAGATTTCTGAATCATGGCGTCACAACACTCTAAATAGTGGTTCACTGATAATTCATTTGGACATATGCACTGTGAACAGATTTACAACTTTTTTTCATCCATCCATCATCGATTTTCTCTTTTAAACTACCTACTAACTTAACTTAGCTGGGCAATATATTAAAAATATCAAATATAACAACAATAATACAATACAACGGCCACTAGAGAAGCAGAATATAAAATTGGCAATAGAGAATACACACATGTATGTGTGTGTTTTTGAACAGGATTCTGAGCAAAGGATAAATATTTACAAATGATATTTTGAGAACCACAGGTATGGGTGTGGGACGTGGTGGCGCTGCAGTCTATTAAAAATTTCAAATATAACAACAATAATACTGTGCAATAAAACGGCCACTAGAGAAGCAGAATATAAAACTGGCAATAGAGAATAAGAGAGCAGGGGGAAAATTGTGCATGCTATGGCAGCCACATAGGAGTTCCTGTTTTAACAGGGTGACTATCACATAAGTGACTAGGTGTTGATTCTGAAACTGGTTGTGAGAATCCCTACCCCATGGGGGAACCACATATGTCATTACTGTTCAACATGTATGTGTGTGTTTTTGAACAGGATTCTGAGCAAAGGATGAATATTTACAAATGATATTTTGAGAACCACAGGTATGGGTATAGGGATGTGTAGAAAGCAGTCTGATTCTTTAAGTTCCTTATGATGAAAATAAGTGTTTTGATGGAAAAGATGATGGAAATGTATTTTAATTACAGTTACTATACACACACACCAATTAATAGTGCTATTTATTTATTTGTAAACAGAGAAGGCACCTACTGAACCTCCTCAGCTACCAGGGAAGTGTCCAGAATCAGAAGATAAACCATGGATTCCTTTTCATCAACACTGCTACTACTTTGAATCCTCCTCGAAAAAGAACTGGCCAAGGGCTTCTTTAGCTTGTTTACAGTTAGGCAAGTATCATCATTTCTTGAATGGAGTACAGAGGAAAAAGGTGGATCCATATCTATTCATGCTCAAGTGTGCACAGTATGATAGGGTAGAAACTAATAGCCTGTCATTATGGCTGAAAGCACATGAATGTTGCTGAGATGTGGTTGTGGAAATCTTTCTGTGTTTATGAAAGGAAATTTCAAAGAAATCCCACACTTACACTTTGAACAGCAGTCTGCAAATAAAGCAAGGTAATCTGCATACTCTCAAAGACCAAAGAGAGACTAATGCAATGACACTCAAATGCTTCCTTTAGTTAAGGATTTCCCTCTTCCAGTAATGGCCTAACTGTGACGTCTCTTCCTCAACTCAATTTTGGCAGTTTAAGATCTCTAGCTTTTTCAAGTAGAAGTAAACACAAACAACCCATATCTAGATTAAGCCTATCATGTGTTTCCTTAAACAAAATGATTTGGCTTTTGCTTCAAAATTTACCTTTTCCAGAATTTTGCCCACTTGCATGTGATATAGGATAACCACACATTCATGTATTGGCCAGATTGTTCACCACTTTAAGTCTTGTCCTTTTATTGTCTTGAGGCCATACTATCCAACTAAAGGAGACTGAGAGTGTATCTACACTACACAGTTACAGCAATATTTAACTATCATTCCAACTACCATAGCTCCATCCCATGGAATCTTGGGATCTGTAGTTTGATGAGATATTTGCAATGCTTTGCTAGAGAATGACAGCAGAGATTTCTGAAGGCTTTCCTAAATTATAAACCCCAGAATTCCATAAAGTGGTATTGAGCTGAAAAAAACAATGTATTGTAGATATTCTCTGAGAAGTGTGCCACTGAACAACATACAGTTTCTTTTTCTCCAGTTAAGCAGAACTTCTTTGCCTGCCATAGCTGGCTGGATAGCTCAGTGGTTTAGGTGTCTGGCTGAGAAGCCAGAGATTGGAAGTGCTTCACTGGAGAGGTGTGGGCCTGTGTAATCCCAGGGCACGCCCAGAGGAAGGAAATGGTAAACCACTTCTGTATATTCGCTACCTAATATGGTGCTTCCAATTGTGGATAAAATAGAGAAGGATTTCAAACTACATCCAACATATTTGAAGAAGTGTGAGTTCACTCCTCTGAGGAGACTCATTGAAATTGATGTCACCTAAGTTAGTATTGCGAGGGACGTGGTGGCGCTGTGGGCTAAACCACAGAAGCCTGTGCTGCAGGGTCAGAAGACCAAGCAGTCGTAAGATCGAATCCACGCGACGGAGTGAGCGCCCGTTGCTTGTCCCAGCTCCCGCCAACCTAGCGGTTCGAAAGCATGCAAAAGTGTCTCTCTGGAGAAGTGTGGGCCTGTGTAATCCCAGGGCACGTCCAGAAGAAGGAAATGGCAAACCACTTCTGTATATTCCCTACTTAATATGGTGCTTCCAATTCTGGATAAAATAGATAGGGATTTCAAACTAAACAGATTTAAAGAAGTGTGTGGTTCACTCCTCTGAGGAGACTCATTGAAATTGATGTCACTTAAGTTAGTATTGCAGTGGAATTCATTCTGCAAAGCCTCATCCAAAAGCTAGGTTTGCTTTATTTGGCCCAAGTGTGTTCTAATTTGAAATCAGCTACTGTGAGATATATTACTTCAATTAAAAACTCACACATTCTTTTTGTTTCCTTATTCATATTTTGTAGATGCCACTCTGGTTTCCATAACCGATGCAGCAGAAGCACGTTTCATAGTAGCAAATATAGAAGAACTTGAAAGCAAAACACGATCGTTTTGGATAGGAATGTTCAGAAATTTGAATGGTACGTTTCTTGGCCTTGGTTTTAATCTGAATGTTTCCTGACATAATCAGTGAATATTTTTATTATGAGCTCTTAAATGATCAAAATGCCTACTAATCGTCTCTGGGTAAATACAACAGAGGAAGAGTTGACATTGACATTGACCCTACAACAAGGGGTGGTTGGTGTCCATTGTGGTTGGTGAGGCAGAAGGTGCGTTTGTGAATAGTGGGCAAAACTGGGGTGCAGCGAGAGACAGGTGCAAATCTATGTACTTCTACACAACTTCCGCACTCCATCTTCCAGCTAGAGTCCAGCGATAGGGTTTCTACTTTATGGGAGCGGGCTGGAGCAATTCCTTGGCAGATGGAAGGGTTGTTTTAAGAAAGATTGCTCCCATTGAGGCAGCTCTTCCTGGCAACTCTTCCTCACAAACATGCCTTTCCTGCCATTTTATCACACCCTGAATCCATGACATTGAGCACTTATCCTTTTATGCCAACTAGGAAACTGCTAGAGTTCTTTACCTCACTATATTTTCCCATGTGATGTTAGGTGATTGGCTCTGGCTGGACAATGCGGCTGTGGATTTTGTCAACTGGAACAATGGGGAGCCGTCACCTCAAAGTAGTGAAGAGTGTGTAGAAATGCTTTCATCATCTGGAATGTGGAATAATGCTTATTGCAATATCTATGCAGGGTACATTTGCAAAAAACCAAAAGGTAAACAAGACATTTTGTTTGTTGTTCCTGTTGTTGCTAAGAGCTGTCAAGTCACTTCTGACCTGTGAGAGGCTTATGGTTTAAATGGAAGGCAACTAAAGGTTATTAAGAAACACAAGAATTTGGCTGGGAGGTAGGGGAAGAGAGGAAACTGAGTAGAGATGTAATGAACACTCCCTATAATTTTGCTCCTTGTAATTTAGGCTGTTTTGACTTGATGAGACATCTTAAGGAGATTTATTGCCTGCAAGCAAGACTGAGACACAACAAATGCAATTTTTTTCCTGCCTTAAGGTCAACTAATTTGCACAAACAGTGCAAAATAGTACAAAACCTCTTGTTTTTCTATCAAGACTGCCACAAAATGCCATGTCCTCTCATGAGGCATGGGAGTAATCTTGCTGCTTCTCATCCTTACTTCCAAGTATGAAACAAGTAAAGATTTACATCATTAGGAGTGAGCAGCTAATTCTAGCCCAGGAAGAAAGCTGAATTACTTCCAAACTTGGGTAATGTTTAAATCTTCTAGCTCATCCAACAGAAGCTAGGGATGGAGTCACACGCCTTTTAACCTACAAAATATTGTCTTTCACTGAGAAAAGATCCAACTGATATCATTTAAGTGGGGACACAGAGAAATTTCACTAGTTTTTCATTTTTGGTTGAGAGACACTGCCTTTCCTCAGTGGAACAATCTTTTGAGGATTTTCAAAGAACCAAGAGCCACTTCTTTCCTTGACAATATTTGTACTGGAATCCAATAGTAAGTCAGAGCTAGAGTAGGCCCATTGAATTGACTGTGATTTGGTGAGTCATTTCTTCTGTAAGTTTCATTAATTCAATGGGCGTAGTCTAGTTGCGAATTACTCCTTGATTTCAGCAAATGTATCCAAGCCTGTTATGAAGCTAAGCGCACATGCACATGTACACACACACACACACACACATGCAAAAGGAGAGGCTGATTGCTCAGACAGATGCCAACAACCCACTTCCACTTTTAATAATTGGCAGCAGTTATGATTTTCCATCTGCTCATTTATACAAATGTGCAAATGTCTATACATTCTATCCAAAACTGCCCCCCATAAGAACCCTGACTACCTAGTAGTGAGGAGAAAAAACATTGCATTTCCTTGTTTTGTGTGTGAAGAGAAACTAGGTCATGCTTTATATCCCTACATTTAAAGCCTGCAAATACCTCAAAATGCTTTGTGCTGAATGTACAGTAGGACCCCCATATCCACGGGATCGTCATGCTTTATATCCCCACATTTAAAGCCTGCAAATATCACAAAATGCTTTGTGCTAAATGTACAGTAAGACCCCCATATCTACGGGATCAGTATCCATAGTTTCACTTATCCACAGTCTGAAAATATTTAAAATATTATAAAGAAAACATCCAGAAAAAAACTATTTTCACAGGTATTACCAGAAAAGGCCATTGGCTGGAGCCAGAGATCATACTATGAACACTTGTTAGTGATGAATGCATAGAATGGTCTCTGGTGCCCTCTCGTAGCCAGCCCTTGTAATGCATGTGAAAAAAAATTCTCTTTTTTCCCATTTTACCATGATTTTACCATGATATATATTGTGTTTGTTATTATCCATGGTTTTCATTATTCACGGGGAACATTATTTATTTATTTGATTTATATCCCACCCATCTGGTCTGGTCGACCACTCTTGGAACTTGGAACCAATCCCCAATGGAGTTCCTAAAATAATAATAATAATGTTATCCAAACAGTAAAAGGAGATTTGAACCTGTTGTCATTCATTGTTTTCCCCCCATTTTTATAGTTGTTGAAATTCTGCCGACTGAGAAGTTGCCAATGAAACAAGCTAAAGGTAAATTATAGAATAATCTCCTTGAGAATTGTCTTTTGAGGATCTTTTTATATCCAAGACGTTTCAGTGTTCCCACACTTTCATTTCAATACGAGTAATTCACTTCAGTTTGATGGACAAAATCTATATAGCCTTTTGATTATTATTTGTTTGTTATGTGGTAGTGTTCTTTGCTGACCTCAAAACATGAAACGCCAAATAGAGTTATGGAGTGTCATAGAAATCTTCACAGAATATCCAATGCAACCAGGGACCATATCATGTTTGTTTGTGAAGGGGGGCAGAGGTGATGATGGACTAATCTTTGGAGGGGGGGGCGAGTACATGGGTTGTGATTATAAACTCCTGAACTTCAAAATTTATCCTTGTTTGGAAGTTATTACTTACAAGAAAGGTAGTTACTGTATATGTTTGGGGTACTGTGTAATGTAACAAGTAGGAGCAATGTTTTTTTTTAAGTGTAACAAATAATGTCTAAGTTACTTATTTACAATGAATAGCAGCTAGTAATCTTCAAAAGCTGTTTGTAGTGTCATTTGATAGGAATTTTCCAGAGTTTATGCCATTCTGTTATTAATTTGTACTGTATTATAGAATGGCATTTTCAATGTGCAGTATCAGAACTTGCCACAAGAGGGAACCAGATAGTCTTGCCCTATATTTTTCTGGACTACTGGGAACAATAATACAATCATTTAGTAAAGTGTAATGCAACAAATTAATAATAAGAACAACTCAGTAATCAAGCTACTGAGAAGTAATGAGTAATGCAACAAGTTCTTTTAAAAATGTAAGATTTTAAATTTATCACTGCCTATTGACCAAAAGAAAGAACACTAGATGATCTCTAAATGAATATATAGTATTCTGGTTTTTGTATTCCAACTCCCATCATACCCAGGTAGCATGGATGGGGCCCGGGGATGATGGGACCCACAGGTTCCTTGCCACTCCCAATACGCTGTGCTGAATAGAGTTAGAATGTGACACCAGGACAGTTTTTTTTTTCACAATAGTTCCTGTGGACTAAAACCGAACATGGATTCATTGCCCTGCAAAACTGGAATTTTCAACTTCCATTGCCCAGAGTTCCCTATTTAAAAAAGATCAAAAATGTAACAACAGTGATTCTTATCAACATTGCTGCCTTGTAAAATACTGTTCCTTAATTTACAGAATCAAGGAAGATGGAAAACAGTCCTGCGTCTAGCCACAGCAAAACAACAGCAGTGGTGGTTGTGATGATCCTCATTCTAGCAGGGGCATCTCTCGCTGGTTACTATTTCTATAAGAAAAGACATCAACACTTGGTGACAGAAGACAACTTTGAGAATTCTCTCTATTTTAACAGCAGTACCACTTCTCCAACTAGCGATACAAAGAACCTGGTGATGAACATGGAGCAGAATGAACATGCTGCCATTTAGTCTGAGGAAACATAAGCAGTACCTTGTTTCAATAAACGTACCAAATCCCCAAAGCTCCAATCAGAACACCTTTTCTCCCTTACAAAATACAGTACTAATAATAACCAGCCCATCTGTTGCAGCATTTTTATTGCATAGTACGTGAAGCAGTGACTTTGCTTTGTGTCCCTAGTAATTCAACAGCTTTGATTTCAGAAATAGCAAAGCGACTAATTTAGCTCATGGCCAAAAGAGCGAAGTGGCTAAGCTGCTGTATAACAGGGGTTTATTAATGACATTAAGAGGAAATAGATTATCGAATCTGAAAGACCAGGCACGGGAAGCCATTTGTAGATGGAAATGAATGCTAAGTGAACAAATATGTCTATATTGGTATTTCCCTTCCAGATTCATTATTGAGAAATGAATGCTGGTGAACTAAAGTTTTTCCAGAGATATTATTTATCCAATAGTTTTACTGAGCTGGCTGGATAGCTCAGGAGGCTACAAAGCCTCCTGATTAGGAGTTCAATTCCCCACTGAGCCTCCTGCCAGCCTGTGTGGCCTTGGGCAAGCAGCACAATCGCAGGATTTTGTCCAGAAGAAACGAATGTTAAACCACTTCTGAATCCCAGGATTTTGCCCAGAAGAAACGAATGGTAAACCACTTCTGAGTATTCTATACCTGAAAACTCTGAAAAGGATTGCTTAAATCAGAATTGACTTGACAGTACATGGTTGTTATTATTATTAACTGAATGGGACTTAGACAGATTTTTGCCTAAAAACAAAGAGAGGCATACCATATCCTTGTGGGAATCTTAAACCCTAAACAAACTGGAGTTTTCAAGAGATCTTAATTTCTCTTTTGTTGTACATTTTAACGTCCTTACATTTCCATTTTTAAAAGTGTGGTGGGACCTGGTCACTGGTTGCATTGGGTAGACCATAAATACACTAGGAGATATTTCTCCATGGACATCATCAGGCAAGTTTCTGGCAGCTAAAAATCTTAGTTTTGCAAAATGAGTAACTGGTGGTTTAAAACCCTCTACATAAATTATCGCTCCTGGATGCTTCGCAAAGTTGCCATTTTTTGTTTGTTGGGAAAACCCATTTTTTTGGTGGGGAAGTTGAGCCTCATGGAACCATGGCCCACAAAAATAGCTTTGAGGTGAAAACGGTGACTAGTAGGGCAGCACTGTTTTCACCTCAGATGTAAGACAATGTCATTTCTCTTAGAGCAGAAGCAGATTTTATAATTAACTTGTGGTCAGAGCTGAATCGCAGTAGTTTCAGAGAGAAGTGATTCTGGCAGATTTGTGTGAACTTCTCTAGGACTTCTAAGAAATCTCATGTTTTAAGCCAGGAAGACTAATCTCAAAACAAAATAAGTAAAATTTGCAAATCTTGTGAGATAAGAAGAGTTGCTACTCTCTGCACTCAAGACACTTTTGGTAAATAAATTCCTTCTTTTATAATCTGTACTGTAATATCATTCATAGATTTTATCACTAAAACTTGTAAACGGCGACACTTCAGTGTAAAACACTAGAGTGTTTAATGGATTTTTTTTACTATGACACCAAAGGGCAAAGGTGTTTTAAACTTGATTCATGCCTTCTTTGTGTTGCCTGTAAAATAAATCATAACAATGGTCTCCTGCTACATATTTAATACTGTTTTTGGAAAATCCTGAAGTGTTTTCATTGGTATATCACTACCCATAATGTGTATTATTCCAATAAATTTTTTTAAAAAATAGCTACCATTTGACTTGTGTCTCCTCTCACAGACTATCCTTGGACAATTTTGTTCTTACCAGATTAATATCATGATTGTCACATCATTCTGCCAGATCGCATGGAACACTCCTTTGTCATATGATGGTCTCTGACCCAATAATTCAGAGTCACTTGCACATGTACCCTTGTCATGTTATGCATGCATGGATGCATTTCATTTTCAAACACAGTCACAACTGTTATTCAGATAATGCTATCAGTGTGCATTGCACTTCACAAAAAGATTAGGCCTGCCTGTGAGGGAGCTTGCAGATTGATGCACAAAAGGCAACAGAGAAAGAAGCAGAATAGAAGCGAGAATAGAAGAGAATAATTGAGAAAATCTAAACTTTTAAATCTGCTGGCTGGTGGGATCATGGTGAGAAGTATCCCTCCTCTAGTACATCCATTTCTACTATGCCAGAAGAAAGCTCCAGAAGTACTACCATCAGTACAGCCCTGGAACAGGGCATTCCAGGAGTATAATTAGAGTAGTCCTGGATTTGCTGAGTCCTTCAAACCCTCTTTTCCTATGAAATATTCCAGAAACAGGCTGATCAAATAATCTAGCCTGGAGCTGACAGTCCTTATCCCCAGCAGGGTCAAAGAGAGGTTACAAAAACAGATTGGTTTGCTACTCCAGATGATCTCATCTGCGAAGAATCAAGCTTGGAAACAACATGTTTAAAGTAACAACATTACTCATGAAGAGTTTCTTTTTAGGACACCCATGAGATAGCATCTTTTGTGTAAAATGTTACTTGTTATTACCCCTAAATTTTTCAATTGTCATTTTTAAAGAGCTGTCCATTTCAATTTCTTTAAAAGAATCCTACAATCAAATAAATGAATCAAGTACATTAATTACTGTCCCCCACCCCCCAACTGGTCCGTGCATGGAGCACACACACCCCAAATGGTCCGTGGACCAAAAACGGTTGGGGACCGCTGCAGTAGAGAATAGTTTGGATTAGAGATGGGAGCTTTGCATTCATATCCCTGGGGAGACGAACACAAAGTGTGGCACCACATGTACCACAGAAATCCATTCCCTCCACCCAGAACAATCTACCCAGAGCCATGGGCTCTGTGCAGCACACATGTCCATCAGCAGCAACATTGCGCCAATCTCAGAAGTACCCCAACCAGCTCTGCCTTGCCTCTCCACACAGCGGATCACTCCAGTGAAGAGGTTGGATGATGAATCTCCCTGCTCAGCCATTCAGCAGTCAGCTGCACGGAAAGGCGGGGCAGGAGAATAAGAGCATATGCCCCCCCTTTTCTTTCAGAGTCAGTAGTGGAAGGGGTGTACCCCACTGATATTCATTAGAAGAAGAAAATGGTGAAAGGAGGAAGAAACTGCTAGAGAGAATCAGGTGCCTCCCAAAGAAGACTCAACGTTCCTTAGCGATAAGCTGCTCTGTGCATAGGTAAGTGCATTGCTGAAATGCAAGAAATCGTAACCAAGGAGCATATATTCCTCAGGGACCAATCAACTGCTCCATACTTTTTTCTTTTTTTTAGAACTGTATAAAAACTTGAACCTTGTTGATCTCGGAGTCGCCACCCTACTGGGCACACAAGTGTGCACTTGTTTTACCTGAATAAATCTGTTGCAGTCCCCATCCTACTTGGCACACAAGTGCGCACTTGTTTTACCTGAATAACTCTGTTGCCCTTTCCTCCAAGAAACTGCATGCTTAGTATTATTATTACTCGAGTCTTAGCTTAATAGAGTTAGCTAAGACACTGAGCTCTGGGAGTAACAATGACACCCAGGCCCAAAATTGCCTACCCTATCAGTATGCATTGGTTCTTCTTCTTGGGGGTTGCCAAAACGCTCTGGAACACTTTGCCTGCGGATGTGCACCAGGCTACCAGCCTCTTCGGTTTCAGAACACTGGTCAAAACAGAGCTGTGTAAAGAAACTTTTAAGAACATCCCTCTCCTGCAGTAGGTATTCTTTAGACCACAATGTTTAATTTTTTAAACCGATTCAGATGTTGCCATAGGGATTTGCTTTTAATTTTTATTTGCATATGTGTTTTTTTATCATCTTTTGGTTGTGGCAGTGAGGTGGGGAGATTTTCTATCTGGTTGTGAACCATCCAGAGTAGAAATTTTTCACTAGATGGTTAGTATAAAAATGTAATAAATAATCTTAGAACTGCAGAGCTGGAAGGGACCCTATGGGTTAAATAAATAAAGTGGGCTCGTAAGAATGACGAACATGTGGCATATGTGACCCAAGACTTCTTTCACTATACTGTAATATGTAGCATCTTCCC